GGGGGTGGGGGGAGTGGGCCCCAGCCCTGAAGAGGTGGGGGTGAAGGTGGAGGGAGCGAGCCTGGCCCCAGGCCTCTACCCCCACCTCTCCCAGCAGGCAACAGAGCAGATGGGCCAGTGGCACTGGCCCTGCCCCCCACTGTTACCAGCACCGCTGGCACTAGCCCCCTGACCCTGCAGGCAGTGATGAAGCGGATGCAAGGCCAGCAGTGCTGGCCCCGTCCCCCCTGATCCCAACAGGCTGCAATAATGGAGAGGATGGGGGGGGAATTCCAGCGCCACTGGCCAGGACCCCTGGTATTGCAGGCTGTGGCGAAGTGGACTGGAGGGCAGTGCCAGCAGATGAAGGTCGGGGAGGCAGCCTAGCCCTGAAGCAGTGGGGTGGGAGAGGGAAAGTGGGCCTGGCCTCGAACGTTGCAGGGGCAGGGCCAGACGCAGGCTGCTGTCCCCAGCTGCCCTCCCTACCATCATTTTTGACAGGCATTTGGCTAGTATATCATAAAACTGCTGTCAAAACCAGCATGTGCTCAGTAATGGAAACCAACTTTAAGTTGATTAAATGTAGCCAGCATTGAACACGACTACAAAACACATAGCCCATATTGCACAAACATACCTATGGGAACTTTCCTACAACAAGGACAGAACAGTACAGCCCATGTGAATAAATTCTGTAGTAGTGCCCGTTGAGTACAGTCCCCCCCCAGGCCCTGACTCTTTTTCAAGTCATAGTGAGCCACTACACTGCATACGTTTTGACTTCCTCTTCACTCCCACAACTGAGCTGTGGCTTTCTTTTCCAATTCCAATCATTCCTGTTTCTTCACAGGCCATGTCTGACAAACATTGCCAAATGGGGCCCCAAACAGTTCACCATGAATCCCTCTGCCATCCCCTCTCTCAGCTTGTTGCAAATGATTAGTGTGGCTCTGCCCTCCAGAAGATGGAGCCAAACCAGGTTGCCTTGTCTGCATATAGATTTCTGGAGGGTCCCAGGATTCATGACAAGAACACCTGGTTCCAGTATCATGAGTGGGGGGCTAATTAGCACATTGGTCTCTTGTGGAGGGTATCTGGAGTACACACACACACACTGAGCAGCGCTGAGCTATGCAGTCACCATGGCTTGAAATGCTGTTGACCGTCTGGGATCCAGCCCAATGGAAAATCATGAGCCTTGTGGCTTTGAACTAATATTATGCATAGTATGTACAACATAGAAGTACATACTAAGTACAAACCAAAGTGCTGCTTGAAAGTGTGTTTATGGACCACCTGGGCTAAAGCTTGCACCAGTTTCAAAAAAGATAAATGCTTCAATTCTGGATGAACAAAGTCTATGGGTACCTGTAATAATTCACCTATATGCAAATTATAACAGGTCTGTTTATTTCAAAGTCAGCGTTTTCAAAACTTGCCCCTCAGTTCCATGCGCTCATGGAGAGCAGGATCTGACACTAAGGGGGGCGGAGGGGGAGGGGGGAGAGGCTGCAAGGCGAATAAGTTGTGGGGGAGAGGAAGGGGGCCGCCTGACCTTCCAGTTTTATTTTCTCTGCTGTAGCAGTGGGAGTAAATTCTATACCTGGAGAACTATAACAAATTTATACACTTTCCATTTATAGAATCTAATTATGAGGTGTTGTCTTATATTCAGGGTAACCTATCTGAGTAAATAAGGTAAATTCATTCTTAATGGGTACTACTCTAGCTATCATTCATATGCCAATTATTATATATATTCTTTATCTTGTCAAAAGTTAGCCTTGTCTGACATCAAACCACTACATGTACCTTGTAACTTCTACCCTAGGTTTTTCAATCCAGCTTGCTTGATTTTTCTAAACTGGTTCACACCTTGTGACATTCTCTAGCCTGAGCATTACTTTGCCTGTTCTTCTTAGTCTGATAACTGTCAAGCAAATACAAATAACCCTGTACTATCATATCCTTAAAGAGCTCAAGGCTTATAGTCTACAGGAGTCAGACAGTCAGGCACACTCCTTTTTCTGCTGGGAAATTTCTGTCTGCAAAGTGCCATGGAATAGGGAGCCTGATGTGACTGAAATGTCATACATCCAGCAAATTCCAGTAGGCTTTAGAGACCCGGTTCTTCAAAACTGTAATGATACCTGTGATTGCGGAGGTAGGGTACCACATAATGCATTATATTTACAAGTAAAGGAATAACTCTCTCTTTCTCATCACTGTAGAAAACCATATCCAAAAGATGAGCCAGAACCTAGGAAGGAAAAAAAAAAGAAAGAACACTTGGTTTTACCAAAGTGTGACTCCCAACACAAGGTTTATTTATACAGCAGCTTTCATGTAATATGTCTATCAATAAAATAGTGCTCCAAATCCCATCTATGATGAATTATTACCATAGGAAATAAGAAATAATCTCTTTGTACATTCTCTTTATTAAAGTGAATTTGGTGCGTGTTCATCCTACAACTTAATATATGCATACAGTGCAGCACAGAAAGCTTTTGTATAGTTTCTTGCCAAAGAAGAGCAGTTTATAGGGCAAGTCTCCACGTTCAGTAGCATGTTTGCCCAAACAGATAAAAATAGCATGAACTATACAAGCATTCATTCATATTTAAAACTGAGGTGATTATATCCCATGAAATATACAGGTTCAAAAACCCAAATGATAAATATTCATTACATATTTAAAAATAAATTAATAAAACCCATGAACTCTTAGCCAAGACTACATATTATGCCAGGGCTGTCCAGCTGGTTGCCTGAGGGTCATATACAGCTCACAAGGGGTTATATTATGGCCACTGTTCCCCCAATCCCTTGGGTTGTGATAGCAATCAAGGCCTCTGGGCTCCCCCTCCCTTCTCCAGCTGCTGTTTCTTGCTCCTGCCCCAGGAGGTGGGGAAGTGTCGGGGGTGACAGGGAAGTGGAGGCTGAGTTTGGGGCATGTGGTGCAGCAGCTGGGGAGAGGGGTGCCTGTGTAGGTGTGCAGTGCAGCAGGGCAGAGAGGGGGGAAGGAGCCTGCACAGGCTTGTGGTGCAACAGCTGGGAAGCAGGGAGCATGAGGGCACATGGTGCAATGGTGAGGAAAGAAGTCTGCACAGATGTGCAGTGCCGCAGTAAGGGGGGAAGTAGCAGGGGCGGGGGGTGGCAGGGACATCTGAATGGCCCTCACTGTTGCAGCCTCTGTCCACTTAGAAATTGGACTTCCCTATATTATATTATACGTCTTACAAAACAGCAAAATATTGCTAGAAACTCATGAATGATATGTCTACATACCAAACACCCATGGTCCCTTACCTCATACACTCCAAAAAACCATGATCCAAGAAACCAAACCTTATAACATGTCAGGAGCTACAAAGATCAACACTGAAGCACATGACACCCAGGCAATGGCTACAGTCATCTTACTTTATTTTACTTGCATTTGTGGAAGGGGAAAAAAAAAAGTCAGCTAAAATGCCCACCACAAACTGCTACAAATTAACACAAGCATGCAAGTGAAGATCATGGCAGGTAATCAGGTCTCCTTTAGGCATCTGTCAGTAGGCACCATCCCTGAATCAAAGAGCTTTCTGATCACCTGGCCCCTGTATTTTTTCAGAACAGTGAGATTGGTTCAGGTTTTTGGGCATTATAACAACCCACTTAATAAATAAATGAGGTTCACCTCTCACAGTATATGTACATTTCACATTTTTTTTCACCAGATGTATTAATTAGCATTTCTGCAAGGTAAGTTTCACATTTAGGTGCATGTTTCTAAATGCTATAGGTCCTTTTGTAATACAATACCAATATTTCAGGATTTAGTACACTGGAAAACATTTACCTCAGAAAGTAAGGTTAATGCGTGGACACTATATACAGATGGAGTTATGTTTGAAGTTTCCAGAACTGGTGATAACATATCTAAATTAAAAAGGGACAGCAAGAAATAATTAATTTTGGAAACTATTTCTATCAGCATCTATGAAAAGCATTTTAAAGCAAATATTTTCAACGACATAAAAGTGGACTATTTAGTTTTTCCCTGTACATTACATATAACAGAGTTCAATATACCACACAAGTTCAAATTTATTTAGTAAATTCACACACTGCAAAGCTATCATTTTCAGTAACATAAAGGTAATTGAACTAATTAAATCCATTATTTGAATAAATTCCGTATAAACCACCTTCAACATCAGATTCCAAGTTGCTTCCATCAACCATAATCTTGGGGGAAGGTTTAACCTCTAGGTTTCGTCTTAGCCAAGTAGTCTGTTCTAAGGAAGAACCAGCAATTGCACCAATGGCATCCACTATTTTGTGAGTTACATCCTGGAGGAAAACAAAAAAACAAAGCTTAAAAAAATCCTCCAAAAAACCCTTGTGTAAAATGGTGTTTCTTCTTTTCTGAGACTTTTATGTTTTCTAGACAGAGATCCATTAGTTCAGTAGCAAGAAAGAAAAGATATTAAATGGAGTTGCATAATGCCTTTTCTATGTACTTCCCTTATATTTTACCAATTACAAATGTTTCTTGAAGGACAAGGTGCAGTTCTTTGCATCAAAACCATGGACTACTTAAGGAGTTAAGCAGAGTTAGAAGTATAGGAAAAACCTTAAGGAAAGTAGTCTAGAGCTTTAAATACACAATAAATTCACTTAAGGTACTTTTAAGAAGTACAGCAAGAATATGCACATCTGGCTGCACACAGAATGGAAAGGTGATTAGTATTAGTGTCATACAAAAGTGTACAGAAGTTAGAGAAAAATGTAAGTTGAATATAAATTTTGGATTCAATGTTGTTATAAATACAAACTTGGATTAGTGTTTTATATATGAGTACCTCAAGCAAGACACGTAAGGTACGTTCTGTACATAGGATTGTTTGGCTTTAGTTGGAATACTCTATACTGGACTCTAAAACTCTTAAAAGTAGACAGATGATCAGAAAGGCCAGAGAACAGGAACAGAAATTATAAGAATTTGGAAAATAAAAAATTCCTCTGTAAATTTAAGAGGAATGGGCAAGGTTCTATCTGGAGAAGAGATGCCAGAGAGAAGTTGTGGACAGTCATAACATTTATCTTGCAGCATGTAGCTTAAAAGGTCAATAAAAATGAACAGACAGACAATGCACAGCACAATTATGCTGCAACTCAATGCAACTTGCATAAAAAATGACTGGAGCTGATGAAATAAGGGTAACTGACACACTTCAAAGTGAAATACTTCAGATTATGCCTGTCCTATCCACCCATGCATAGAAAAAAGCTGGCCAGCTGAAAAGCATCCTGTGCTTAAGCTTCTCCTTCTGCCAATAAGGTTCTGCAGTTTCCAGGCTGGAAGACTGCAGAAAATGTGGCTGAAAAATGCTAGGATCTCTGATCTCCAACCCCTTGCAATGGGATGGTACCACAGAATCTAGCAAACTCTGAGATGTATTTGGTGGGACAGCACTGTATATTTGTATATTATTAATGAGGTAGCAAATAAAAGTGTTACAAAAATCTGCTGTCATCTGAAATGTTTACAGGAAGGAATATCAACAGTGAGAACAGAACAAATAATTATTTCACTCACTTTTTTTGTAAGTTAACTATAAACAATAGAAAAAACTGCAAAAGTAAATAGAAGGCCTTAACAATAAAATCAGTTGCCTAAAGCTATTTTATTGCTGAACAGGAAGAACCATTTAGACTATACTACTCTTAAAACAGCCAGTTGCTGAACTATATTTTCAATGCTAATTTTATACAAGAACATTTTCTCACCTGAAGGTCTCTTTGATCTTTCTTATTCTCCAGATTGGGGTTTTTCATAATAAACTCATTTAGAACACTAAAAGAAAATATATGAAAAAATACTGGCAATAATCTTAAAATAAAATAACATCAGTTTAAAAATATTAGGCCAAAATCCATGAAAGATTCATATGCACAGTACAAATTTAGTGACATTTTAGCTGTTTCCTTTAGTTTGCTAAAATTCCAGAAAACATATTTCCATGTCTGATATGTATTTTATTTGTAGCACTATACCTTGTTTACTTAATATTTTATGGAGTACCTGTTAACACTACCATATATCCAAAACATAATAATTACGATATTTTTAAAACAAATTTATTAGCAACTACAAATCTGGTTTAATATCCCACATTAGTATTACTACAATTTCCAAAGACTGAGGTTTGATGTTTAACACACACGCCTGAATTTTACATTTTATTTCTGATGTTCAGCAAACTATTTGTATGCCAATAATTATAATTCCTATTTTATGGGAAACAAAGACCTAATATATACAAAAAAACAACATAAGCGTGATTTACAAAAGGCACGAATAGAAGAACAAATTATACAGAGTAAAAAGGTGGGGAGATCATTACCCTGAGTCAGCTGCTTCATGGAAACTGTTTGTTTGTCCACTCTGAATGTGTAGTAAGTGGAAGTTAACTATGATAACTTTGCCCTATTTTATTTATGCTGACCCAGTTTAGCTTTCATTTACTTCAGGACAGAAGACAATACTGAGCAATTACTGTTTCCAGTTACCACTGCTCACTTGTGGTAAATCTTAACCCCTTCTTTTGGTATATAATTTGTTTATTTGTCCATACCCTTAGTACATTTAGAAGATTAAAGCACTATTTAGGTTGTGTGATTGATTAAATCAAAAGTTTCGAATACTTTATTTTACAATGATTTATATTTATAGTTTCTAATGAAATTAACTGCTCACCCAAGTATGAGAAACTGCCCCGGTGCTGGAAGACCAAGCTGTATAGAGTCCTTCAGAAGAAGTAATAGTGATGCCCAGCTATCCACTAAATTGGACACTGGTATCCTGCAAGATGAAATTAAAGTGAAAAAAAATCACATTAAGGCTCTCAGGGTACCTGTAGACTTGCTGGAATGTTGCTCTGACGTGCTGTAATTACAGCATGCCAGACTCAATTAACTGAGTCTGCTGGAGTGTGCCAACTAGTGCGCTTCAGCAGCCCCTGCAGCTCATGTATTCAGTGACCCCACACTTCAAAATATGGTCAGGGGTGCTTTAACTAAAGCTTGAACAAGCTTTAAAACTCCCCCACTGCCATTTTGAAGCACAGGACACAATACAGACACTGTGGGCACTTTAATTAGAGTGGATCTCAGAGCTGCTCCAATTAAAAAGGCCCCCCCGCAACCCCAAAGTACATGTAAAGACACCCTTATTTCCTAAGTTCTCTTTTTAGTATTATGTCTTTCCTGTCTAAATGTGTCAATTAAATTACTGTTTGTGCAGAGGATCAAAATTTAGTTCTCATCTTTCTCACTTGATTTACAGACCAAGAGGAAGTGGTACACCATGGACATAATGCACTGGACTCTGGAAGGAGGGAAAAGAACAGCGCATTCAAAAGATAGTCTGCCTGGCCTATAACTGGAGGAATACCTACGACATTTGCAGTAACTGAATTCATCCTTCCTCAGCTGGATGGTGGTCAGCTGTAGGGCCTCTCAAGTTAGATGAAGGAACATGGTAAAGGCACAACTGGGGAATGGAGAAAATACTCTTCTCTCCAACAATTAATATAATTAAAAAAAAATTTTTTTAAATAATTATTCACAGGTTCAACATATACAATTTTCAGTTTATAGTGTTATACCAAAAGGATGCAAATTTATTTGAAGGATTTATAATGTCCAGATTCTCTTTTCATAGATTCTTAGGGGCTGGAAGGGACCTCACAGATCACTGGGTCCAGCCCCCTGCTCTAGGCAGGAAGACAACTGGGGTCAAGTGACCCCAGCGAGGTGAATGCCCAGTCTCTTGAAAACCACCAGGGTGAATGACTGCACCACCTCTGGAGTGAGTTTATTCCACAGTCTGGACACCCTGACTGTAAAGGAGTTTTTCCTGGTATTAAGCCTGAAGTGGCTTTCCCAGAGCTTGTATCCATTGGTCCTGGTCTTCCCCAGGGATGCCCTAGTGAACGGTTCTTCCCTGAGCTCCTGATGCACTCTTCTGATATATCAGTAAGCCGCTATATCAAGTCCCCTCTCAACCTTCTCTTCTTTAGACTAAAGAGGCCCAGGTTCTTCAGCCTTTCCTCGTATGGCTTGCCTTGCAAGTCCTTGATCATATGGTTAGCTTTTTTCTGGACCCTCTCAAGTTTTTCCACATCCTTATTGAAGTGCGGTGCCCGGAACTGGATGCAGTACTCCAACTGTGGTCTCACCAGTGCCAAGTACAGCAGGAGTATCACTTCCTTAGTTTTACATGAGATGCATCGGTTGATGCATGCGTGTTATCTGTCTTGCTGACCACTGCCTTGCACTGATGGCTCATATTCATGCAATGGTCCATCATTAACCCCTAGGTCCCTTTCAGCCGTGGTGCAAGTCAAGCAGTCACCACCGAGTCTGTATGTATGTTGAGGGTTGTTTGCCCCCAGATGGAGCACCTTACACTTGGAAGTGCTAAACTTCATCTGGTTCTGGTCTGCCCAACTCTCTACCCTGTCCAGGTCTACCTGTCTCTGCAACCTATCTTCTGACGTGACCACACTGCCCCATAACTTTGTGCTGTCCACGAAATTGGCCAGCGAGCTTTTCACTCCCCCATCCAAATCATTGATAAAGCTGTTGAAAAGCCCCGGTCCAAGCACAGACCCCTGAGGGACACCCCTGGCCACTTTGCGGCAGGACAACACAGATCCATTCATGAGAACTCTCTGGGTCCTACCCTTTAGCCTGTTTCCCACTCACTGAATTATCAAGTAGGTGAGCCCACAATCTTCCAGTTTTTTCTAAGGATATTGTGGGATACTAGATTGAAAGCCTTTTGGAAGCTTAAGTATATAATGTCTACCTTGTCTCCCATGTCCAGGTGGCGAGAGACCTGGTCGTAGGAGATGAGATTGGTAAAACAAGACCTATCCGTGACAAAGTCATGCTGGCTGTCATTCAGAATCTTACCTTCCACAAGCATATCGCACACAGATTCTTTAATGATCTTTTCCAGGATTTTCCCTGGGATAGAGATTAGGCTGACTGGCCTATAGTTGCCTGGGTCCTCCCTCTTCCCCTTCTTGAAGATGGGCACAACGTCGGCCCTCTTCCAATCCTCAGAGATTTCCCTTGCGCGCCACAAATTCTGAAAGAGCTTTGCCAGGGGTTCCATAATGACCTCAGCCAGCTCCTTCAGCACTCTCGGATGAAGTCCATCCGGTCCCACTGACTTAGAAATGTCTAGCTTTTCTAGTTGGTATTGCACTTGCTCAGCATCCACAGTGGGGAGGCTGCCATTCCTGGCATGCTCCCCATGAGCCTTATCTCGCATGTGTCTGTTTGTTTACTGCTTGATGACACAGAAGAAAGCCATGATTTACCCTTGGCCTCTTTGTCTTACCTTTGAATATAGGCATAGAAAAACTGCAGCATACAGACTTCCAGTGAGAGATGCTTCTAGAAAGATATGAAAATCAGTGTCATCAAGAAACAGAAATTAATTTGTTATTTTTGTCTATGTCAATGAAAATGGTGGATACTGAACCTATTCCCAGCTTTCTAATGGTAAACAACATTTATTAGAATAACTTGAGGTCAAATTAAATAATTTGCACTAAGATGGGAGCCTGGGTGCCAAACTTTGATACCTATATAAAGACACTCTTTATGCTTCTAGACCTATTCCATACCCTCCCTCCTCCGTACAGCCATTGTGAATGAAGTATGGCATGCCATCCACTGGCTCCACAGTTACCACATCTGGTTTCTCCTCAACCTGGTATATTATTAACATAATGCCAAACCTTTTAAATAGAGGAATAAAGGAGAAATGAATGGGGAGCATAAAGGCATCCAATACCTAAAAAAAAAAAAATTAGAACCCATGGGGGGGGGGGGGGGGGGGGGGGGGCGGGGGGGGGGGGGGGGGTTAAGAGTCAGCTCTGTTTAATTCATCTATCCAGTGCAGGAGTGTCAAATTAATCTCACGCAGACTGGATCTAGACCTAAGGGGTTTCTTGCAGGTTGAACATGAACCTAGCAGTGGTTGGGACAAGTGGCAGTAGGAGTGGTGCTGTATCAGCACAATTATTGCACATCCCTTGCCACCGAAGGCCGTTCCCAACAGAGCTCTGTAGTTTCAAATTCTGTAACAGGCCCCACCACTGAATTCCCAGGCCCACCAGGAGCCCTGCATGCTTGAGGAAACAGTTGCAAAGACCAGATGCAACCCATGGATCGTATTGGTTGATACTTCTAATCTAGTGGACATGTAGGAGAGTGAATTTTAAAATTAGTATCTGACCCTGAATGGATGCAAAACTGACTTGTTAACCCGAAAACATTTATTTTTGCAAGCTTAATTAATTTTATAACTTCACTCTATATTCAGGACCTTTCACTAAATATACGTTAAAAATGAGAGAAATGAGTTTCCACACGGATGGTTAAACTAGTATTACCAGGACAGACTCTTCTAGAGAACAACCACAGTACAGCAGAAGCAAGTTCCTTCACACAAAGAATTAAATACCTATAGCATCTAATATAAACTTCTAAAATAGCATCAAACAAACCAGCAGCAGCATTACTATTCTCATACCTTGTCCTTGGCTATGGCTGGAGGCTGCTTTAAAACCTCTTTCACTGTTTGTATAACTGTCTCAGTTCTCATAACACTAATAGAGCGGACTAGCTCTACCAGTAGAAGTTGTTCTTCACTGGCTGTAGGAATTACCTGGAAAACCCAAACATGCCACAGATTGTCATACAATTAGTAAAACTGCCTGCTGTAACAGGTTTCCCAAGTGAAAACTTTCTAAGCGAAGAAGGGTCACTGAAAATGCATGACAACCCCAGAGCACAAAAAATCATGAAAGTTACCTCCAGATATAAACTACTTACAATGGATGTCAATCTGTCAGGTCTTAGTTATAATCCCTAGACTGAGATATTGCAACCAAAAACCCACCTTCAAACAGGTAAGCATTCAAGTCAGGATATGTGATAGTGATGGTTACAGCCACAAGCTTACCTCAAACTTTAGTACATAACCTGTGTCATACAAAGCTTTAATTACATAAGCACGTGCTGTATGATATATCTCTTTTCTACTTCAGATGCACATTCACAGGATCTTCTAAAAGTATAGATTAGAAATGTACATCACATTAGCAGGGTTCACCTAAGTCATTTATATATCACAGTTATGATATAAATGAGCCAAGCATTCCTGCATATTGCTCTATTTACTGTACACCTAGAAGGAGGTACGGTGATGGTTGTAGAAAAAACATAGGATAATATGGTTCACTGAGATTAGTGCACATGCAGAGGAGACAAAGGTACATGCTTAGCCTTAAAGTTAACAAGAGATGCAGGTGGTCAAGACTTCTGAAAATTTGGGGCCTAATATGAATATTGGTGGCTTAATTCAGACACCCAAGTTTGAATATATTGCACTAAGCAGTTGTGCACTGCAGATTACTGTTATGACTCATGGACTAATAACTTTCCAGAATAAGTAAAATTATAAATTTAAATTTTTGGTTTTAAGCTTTGAGTCATAGTAGGAGGTCTGATGTTTAATCTAACGTGTTACTTTTATTCCAAGCCTCTGCTTAAAAATTAGTCGCACGCAACACTGTTTTAAAAGAACTGGCTGATCAAATCTAAGATGCATTTGACCATGCAGTTATTTATTTATAAATTCCTATCACATAATTCCTTTCCATGTGGTAAAATATATTTTTCATTTAATCTAAAGCCTCCCTTTTGATAGGTCTTGATCTCACAGTAAGCAAGCTTCTTTTCTTCTGCTAATTGTTTGTTTGGTACCCCTGAAAATTTCTCCTTCCTTAAATTTCACAGCTTTACCCATTATTCTTAAAAATTTCTATGCTTGCTCTCTTCCTCAAACCAGAAGAAGAATGCTTTGAATTTGAAAGCTTGTGTAATTTTATCCCAACGATACAACTAGTCTAATAAAAGATACCACCTTGCAAAATCCTTGCCTGAAATTTTAAGTTTTCAAGAAAAGTAGCAGTAATCTAGGAAATCAGTTCATTTAAGTAACTCGGTCACTTGACAATACACACACCTTTGTCCTAGAAGTGTTTTTGTTTTGTCTCCTTTCATTCCAGACAAATGCAATAGCAGCCATGAAGTGAACACCATGATTCATTGAGATGGGACCCAACAATTCAAGAATCTGCTGCCTCAAATTCTGAAACACAAAACCAGAACTTGTGTATATTAAAACAGGCAACCAAATGGGGAATTCTAGTTGACTGGCAGACTATACTGGAAAATGTCTCCTCACCATTCATTTTCTGAGAATGAACATCTTAATCTGAGACATTTAAGGCAGTGCCTCTCTTCCGCTAAATCCCAAAGGCATCATAGAGAGATACATGGAAATTAGCCAGATACCTTTTACATTTGCTCACACAAGTGCTTCCAATGGTACAATGAAGCATTAAAATCTTATCAATAAATTACATAGATTTCTTTACATTACTGCCATTTATTTTGAATGTGCTGTGATAGGGCAAATGATCATCCAAATATTACCCTGCACTAGTTGGTTTCTTAACAAATTACAGTGTAACAGCTCTAAATGAACACAGGCTAAGTGCTTTCTCAAGTACTGAAAGTTCAAACAAAGAAAATAATTTGTGATGTATGGAAGAGCTAATGTTTGGTAACCAGTTATTCTGGTGTATAAAGGACGATTTTGCATTTCTGGAAAAAGTGCTATGGATCGTCTCTTGTATTAGCAGGGACTGATTTCATGGAATGTTCCTGTCAATGAATGACTGGGAAGCCTGACTTTTATGGAAAGGCAATACATGGAATTAGATGCCAACAGCTTAAGTAGACAGGTATGAAAACCTGTTGAAGTGCCATCTTTTATACACATGGATCATAAAAATGATATTTGATATATTAAGGTGAACAGCTATGTGGTATGTATAGACAAGATAACGATAAACCTAAGTGAAAGTCAGGCTAATTTTGTTCTTAAAAAAAATAAAAATAAAATAAACTTTCAATAGTAGGAGAATTTGAATCACTTCTGACAAGTGGATATGCAGGATTTCCAGCATCTCATTACTTTAATACAGTAGGGGACAATCTTTTTGCCAGGGGTGCCACCACTTAGCTCTGTGTCCCTCCCGAGAGCCATTCCAATTCCCCTCTGCTGCTCAATCTGCTGCTTGGCTTTATGCTCCCTGCCCCATGTTCTCTGCCTTATCTTCTGCTCTGTTTTCTGCTCCCTGCCCTGTACTTCCTGTCTGTTCTGTTGCTCTATTTTCTGCTTCCTGTCCTATCTTCCTGCCCCCCTCCCAGATTGGCCATGTACCACACACAGAGGCTACCCATGCCATTTGTGACACTCGTGCCACAGGCCAGACACCCCTGATTTAATATCTTTTGAAAAGGTCTTTGGATAACATATTGTCTAGTTCTTCCCCAATTTCTTCTTTACATTTGCCAATGATCTGATACAGATGACCCAAAGATTGCTGTAACCTGTTGGCAACTGGAGTGCCCAAGCTGCATGGGCGGCAAAAAAAGGAGCTGGGCTGCCTGCACTGTGAGTGATGTGCACAGCCATGGCGGGTGGAGGGCTTAAGTAGTGGAGGGAATTGGGCCATCTGTGCTGTTGGGGTGGGGGTTGCTTGCATGGCACATGCGGTTGCAGGGGAAGGTGCTGCGAGTGCAGCAGGGGGGAGCCAGATTGTCTGGGCTACTGTGGGAGGGGAAGAGAGATGCATGCTCAGTTATGAGGGAAGAGTATTATTCACGCAACAGGAGGGAACTAGACTGCCTCTGCTGTGGCGGGGAAGCTACACCCAGGGGTGGGGAGGTGTGGAGATGGGAAGGGCTGCCTGTGCTGCAATGCAATGGGGACATGCAGCATTTGGCTGCCCAGAAGTTGGACAGCCCTGATTTTACATGACACCTCTACATGTAAATTATATCACCTACAGGAGATGGATGACGCAGGGACATGAGCAGATTCAGGATTTGGTAAAATGGGGTGCAGAAGCAACAACCTACATTGTAGGAGTGGCTGCATCCTGCTCCCAGCCTCCACTCTCCCTCCCCCCCCCTTTGGGACAGGCAAACCTTGCCATGGGAGCAGAGCTGGGCAATTCAAGTCACTGAATCAGGTAAAAATTTCCTCACAATCCCTACACTCAGCACCTCCCTTCCTTCCCCTCCATGCTTAGTGGCACATCTGGTCCCCTCCTTGCTCATTCCCCCCCTGCCACCTCCCCTGCTTGCCACTGATGATATGTATCTTTGGCTGCCCCGGGGTTTGGAGGAGCTCCAGAGCCACTCCTGCCCCTTTCTAGCTAGGCTGTGCCAGAAGCACAGCTCAGCAAGGGACAGTGGTGGTAGTAGGTGGATTCTCCCTCTCTGTGCCTACTCCTGGGCTGGCAGGGAGCAGCTGGAGGGTGGGAATCAGGAAAGGAGGAAGACCCACCCACCACCACCACCACTATCTCAGGCAGTGCAACCCAGTTGGATATGGGCATATGCACTGTGGAGCTCCCCTACCCCTGGTGCAGCTGGAGAAAGGAGAAACAGCAGCAATGGTAGAAAGGGGAAGGGGAGAATAGGAGGGGAAGGGAAATGCCACTGAGGGGAAGGGAGAACATATTCTTATTCAAATTCTTACCGATTTCAGGGACTTAAAAGTCTCTGGCTGCTGTTCCCACAAAATGGACTGAAAAGGGAATGTGTCTGTGCCACTGCACCCCCTCTGGATCTGCCCTGACCACAGATATCTGATTGTGTTATATTTATCATTATTTTAAGCACATCGTAAGATTTTTCTTAATAAATGTGCTGTGAAAATGTTTCCAGCTGTATGCCTTAATTCTTCTATGTTACCCTGAGAGAGCAAAGGAATCATATTATGTCAAACTGGATACATTTTACTGAAGTAAAGCTTGAACATTTACTCTAGCCTTTTTGGGAAACAGTTTAGGTGTTGCAACTGTTAAGAGAATTTTCTAAAAAAACCCAAAAAACAACAACTTGCAAGGAATACAATTAGACTTAGTTTGACAAAGATATTAATGCACAGTTTAAACCATGCTACCCCTGGTATTCAAACCTTGGTTGATCCAAGATTAATAGTAGTAACAGAAGCAGCTGCTGCAACAGTTGTCTTCTCAGAAGAATCTGCCTGATGCAGAATGCTCCACAGCAGAGTCACAGAAGACATGATCATATGAAGGATGGATAAGATTCCATTGCGCGCTTCAAATAAGTGCTTCTGGTCTACATTAACCAAGAGCTAGCAGATATAAAGGAAAGAAATCATTAAATTTTGACAGACCAGCTTGATCAAAATAGCGTAAATTATGAATGAACAATTTACATCTGTAACCCTTCAATCTTAATACCTTTTCACTCTGATTTTACCATTAATATAATCTGTGTGGATTTTATTAGATGGTCAAGAACTACTTTATTTAGAACTGCTTCTTCTCAATAAAAAAATAAGTTTCATAGTTGGTAGGGTTGGAACGGACCTGAGCAGATCATCAAGTCCAACCCCCTGCCATGGCAGGAAAGAGTACGGGGTCCAATGACCCTGGCAAGGTGGTTTTCAAAGACCCCCAGGGTAGGAGCCAGCACCACTTCCCTTGGAAGTTGGTTCCAGATCCTAGCTACCCTGACTGTGAAGTAGTGCCTCTTGACGTCTAGTCTGAATCTACCCTCTGCTAGCTTGTGACCGTTATTTCTCATCACTCCTGGGAGTGCTCGGGGGAACAGGGACTCCCCCAATGCCTGTTGGTCCCCCCCTGATTAGTTTGTAAAGGGCCACTAGATCCCCCCTCAGCCTTCTCTTGTGGAGGCTGAACAGGTTCAGGTCCCTTAGCCTCTCCTCGTAGGGCCTACCCTGTTGACCCCGATCATGCAGGTGGCCCTCCTCTGGACCCTCTCCATGCTCTCCACATCCCTCCTGAAGTGTGGCGCCCAGAACTGGACACAGTACTCCAACTGTGGCCTGACCAGTGTCACAAAGAGGGGGAGGATCAGCTCCTTGGACCTGCTTGAGATGCATCTGTGGATGCACGACAAGGTACGATTAGCCTTCCTGACAGCATCCCCACACTGTTGGCCCATGTTCATTTTGGCATCAATGACTCCAAGGTCCTTTTCTGCCTCGGCACTGATGAGAAGGGAGTTCCTCAGATTGTAGGTATGCTGCTGGTTCTTCCCTCCCAGGTGCACTACCTTGTACTTGTCAGTGTTGAAACCCATCCTGTTCTCATCCGCCCACCCCTGTAACCTGTCTAGGTCCAATTGCAGCCTATTCCTTCCTACTAGCGTACCCACTTCTCCCCACATTTTAGGGTCATCTGTGAATTTGAACAGGCTGCATTTTACCCCTTTGTCCAAGTTGCTGATGAAGATGTTGAACAGTGCGGGCCCGAGGACCGAGCCTTGGGGAACCCCACTGCCCACATCCCTCCAGGTCGAATAAGACCCGTCCACCATCACTCTCTGGGTGTGGCTCTCCAGCCAGTTAGTGACCCATCTGACGTGTAGGCATCAACACCACAGTCTCCTAGTTTTTTAATGAGAATGGGGTGAGAGACCATGTCAAAGATCTTCCTAAAGTCCAGAAAGACTATCCACCGTGACACCTGCATCCAGGGATTTGGTGACCTGGTCATAGAAGGCCACCAGGTTGGACTGACAGGACCTGCCTCTAATGAACCCATGTTGGTTGCCCCTAAGCAGTCTCCCCTGCTGGCCCCTCGTGGACATGCGTCAGGATAATTTTCTCCAAAAGCTTCCCCAGGACTGAGGTAAGACTCACGGGCCTATAGTTTCCTGTGTCCTCTTTCCTCCCTTTTTTGAAAATGGAAACCACATTGATCCTTTTCCAGTCCTCCGGCACATCACCAGAGCACCATGAGTGCTTGTAAAGCCATGCCAGAGATCCCGCAATAACCTCTGCTAGTTCCCTCAGCACTCTGGGGTGGAGATCATCAGGACCTGCTGACTTAAATATGTCCAGTCCCTCCAGAAGTTCCCTGACCAGGTCCTCGCTGACCCTAGGCCTGGGTGTGCCTCCCACGGGGCCTACGGGGGTCCCGGTGGGGGGGATGACCAGATCCCTACTCAGAAAAATGGAGGCAAAGAAATTGTTAAATAGGTTAGCTTTGCTGTCTGGTGTGATGATCAGATTCCCTAGCTTGTCCTCAGAGGCCTCACATTACCTGGTACCTTCTCTTTACCCGCTATGTATTTAAAAAAGGACTTCTTGTTGTCCTTGATCCAGGTAGCTAGTCCCAGTTCCATCTCTGCCTTGGCCTTCCTGACCACCCCCCTATAGTCCCATGCAACAAGGTATAGTCCTCTCTGGTGATGGCCCCTCTCTTCCAAGTGAGTTAAAATAACTCATTATCTCTGAGATACATTTTGAAGAACTGTCTATGTCTGCAAGTGATCATCTTTAAAATCCTTTGCAATTGATTAGGGTGATTTTAGAGTTGCAATATAATGTACATAACACCTTTCTCTACTGACAAAACAATTAGTGTTTAAATGACTACTTAAAAGGATTGGAGAAATAGAAGGGAAAATATATATTTAAAAAAACTAAAAAGCAAACAACAACAAAATGATTCAATACGTTCGGGGTCAAATTCTCAACATAGATTATATATACAGTAATTGCTACAAAATATTCTCTGGCCAAAACTAGAAGGGTCCTAATATATAAGAGAACTACAGGCTAGCACAAAAACGGATTAAAAATGGTAATGTTAGATCACGTAACAAAACTAGCTAGATAGGTGAACACATAATTTGATTATGTGCAGGAATATCCATATGGAGGCCAGAGCTACAGCTGACTACTATAGTTAACAATTTAGAAGTCTAGGAATTTCCATCCTGATTTTGTGCTGCTTTGTGTACTTAAGAGGCATATTAGTAGGGACCTACTGAATTCATGGTTGTGCAATTTTTGTGGAAAATGTGAACTGGGGCAAGCTCCGTGAAAAACAGCAGGCTCACAGGGGAACCCCTTCCCCCCCACCGCAAAAAACCCCCCAAACCCAACCTTACCAGCAAGCAACAAAAAGGGCAGGAAGCCATGTAGTCATGAGGGGGGGCGGGGGGGCAGGGCTGCTCACAACAGAAGGCTCCGAGGCTGCAGGCAGCTGCACTGTGGTCCCAGGACAGCTGTGGCAGATAGCCAGGCGGCTGCACCGGGGTCTGCAAAGCCCTGGCCTGGCTTGTTCTGCATGTATAGCCAGTCTGGGGCTCCACAGACAAGGGAAGAACCTCCCAGATACCTGCTATAGCTGGCCAGGAACCATGGTGCAGCTGCCTGCAGCCTCTGAACCTCCTGCTGTGAGCAGCCCTGCCACCCACTCCTCCCTGGTCGCTCCCCACCTGTGCTCCAAGATTGCATGGCTTCCCACTCTTTACACTGCTTGCCGGTAAGTTGGGGGTTTTTTTGGTTTGTTTGTTTGTTTTTTTGCCACACAGAGCCCACCACTTGAACATGGCTTGAAATCATGACTTAATTACCCATGGTATCTCACATTTTTCTCCTTTAAAGCAGAATCCATTTTTGAAGTTTGTTCATCCATTTTTAAAGTTGGTTCATGACCCTTTCATATATTCTTGCAACCCACTTTTGAGTCATGACCTACAGGTTTTAAAACGCTGCTCTAAACCCAAGTGTTATTCCCCCAAAGTGTATTATTTATTTTATTTATATATATATATATATATATGTATAAGTATAATTTATACATATATATATATGCATGCGTGTGTATTTTTACCATTAAGAACTTAAGACTTAAGTAAATGCAACACTGCAAGCATCATTAATAAGTTAGTTCACCCTAATTTGATAAATAGTGCATAAGAAGCTTCTTAGATCCTTAAATAAGCTTACCTGATGATATTGTGTAGATGGATCTAGTAGGCAGTAATGAATTATTGTTGTGATACCTTCTAATACAGTTAGAATCATATCTGGTGGGGTAACTGATGCCATCCAAATAGGCCTAAAATGCAACAATACGTTTGTAGTGAATTTGCTAGGCACTACTAATTAAACATTGAAATATATGATCAAATTTGCTGAAACAAAAAAATATGGATATACATACCTGCTATCAGATAGTCCTGTTTCATACTTATACTGCTGTATTAAATTATCTAAATTCTTGCAAAGCTGGAGGGTCACAAATACCACCACCTTCTGTAGAACTTTTCCCATATAAGGCAGAGTAGAAGTGATTAGGCCAATCCACTGAGGATGCATTTTACAGGCACAGTGTTGGTGTAAAGCTCTTATCACAGCACAAAGAAACATGCCTTGAGAGGTTATAGGCTGGGAGTGCAAATACTGAAGAGAAGTCATTGGCTGCTGTGCACTGATGTGCTCCAAGTCTGTTATGACAAATTCAAAGCCTGTTTCATTCTCCTCTGGTACAGTAATTACTTTATGCTCTAGAACAATTAATCGCTGCAGCACTTTTAAGAGCTGTGACTGTAAAGTACTGCCATTGTCGACTTCATCCTCAGAAAAGTTAATAAGGCTATCTTCAGAGAAACCTTCTTCAATAGCCACTATATTTTTTCCAGCCACCTTTTCACTATGCCATTTCTGTGCGCTGAAGATAGAAGATAATAAACAGTGCAGGACCACTTTCTGAACCTTGCACTTTGATAACATGTCTGAAATAAAACTAGGAAAGCCCTTTGCAGAACTTTCTATTACTTTTGCCAATTCAGCAAAGAGGAGTGTCAAAATTTCAATGCTCATCATCTGCATATTGCGGTTTCCTATTAAGTCTTGTGGGGTTACTTTTACATGAGTTGGATAGTGGCTCCGCATATAGTATAAACACAAGGAGATAAGAATTTCTATATACATAGAACTCCGAAAGTTGTGGTTAGAGTCTACCGGGATGTGGCTATAGAAGTCTTTGCCCATTACAGATATTCGATGCCTGGCCAAAAGATTCTGAAGCAAGGACAGTTGAGGAGTGTATGCATTGTTGACGCTGGTGGTTGAGATAGCACTTACAAAAGCTGAAGGATTTGTTTTCAAGATTGCTTTGATAGCAGAAAAAGCATACAATGTCCTTGAAGAGTCATATAACTGGAGATAAAGCAACACATGTTGATATAAAGGATGGATGTTAAAATTGGGAGATTTTCGCATTCCTGGAGATCCCACATCACTCTCTATTTCTGAAATTTCTCCTTCTCCACAACTGTACCAATTCTCTAAATCAAGCACATCACTAAAGAAAACACTGGTTTGTTTAAGCTTTTCTGTTTGTATTTTTTTCTTCTCTTCATCTTTCTTTTTTGCTATTTTCACCTTGGGCTTTGCTCCTGGTTGCTTACCAGCTTCTTTAACTATAGTTTCTTTTTCTGATAGCTTTCCTTTGAAGCTAAACTGAATACTACTGTGACTTCTCTGTCTTGACTTAGCTTCTGTTACAGTGAAAGTGAGGTCAGAGAGGGACTGCTGGCTTACTGCAATACAAGGTGAAGAGTTGTTTCTAGAGATTTCATCCCTTGAGCTTTCAAGTCCTGTCTCAGTTGAAGCAGATAACAACTGTGAACTGTCATTACTAAGCAAACTACTCTGGCTGCTTTGAATATTTTGTTCTTCACATTTTGTTACCTCCTCAGGATGATCCAAAGTTCTGATTTTAGATGATGTATCTTCAGGATGCAGATGATGCTTAACTGAATCAGTCTCTTCCCCAAGACCACTTACAACCTTGCATATCAAGTCAGTAACTACTTGCTGCACAACTTCATCAGGCGAGTCTTCTCTCAATGTCTGAGAACTATCCTGAGCACTCAGGCTCTCTGCTTCCACCTCATAACTCAGGTTGTCCCCAACAGATGAATGGGAACAGCCAGAGTCAGAACTCTGGAGTATTTCTACCTGATGGTCAGGAAGGTCAAAATCAGACACAACCATTGGAATAGTCTCGCTACTGGTACTTAACAAGGAAAGTCTGTCACTCAGTGGGTTGACAGTAAGACTGAAGTTCTCCATTTCATCCAAAATCAGCTGTTTGTCATTGTTCTCTTTGGGTGTAATGAGTTGTCCTTGGGTTACAGGCATGTGGAAAAATGCTTTAAAAAAGGTATTACAACAAAGTTAGATACGTTTTGAACTTGAGATATTATCTGTATAAATAATAAAACCTTAATTTTATATAAAATAGTTAGCACCTTTCACCCTAGCTCAGAGAGCAATTTAAATGACAAATCACTAATTAGACCCAGCAGACTCCTCACCTACTCCTATATGACAACACTTGCAAGATGTGTAGGAACAACTTTTTAACAATAAAAAACAAGACTGCCCAACCAAAACTACTGGGAGACTTTAGTTAAACACCCAAGTCCTGGTATTGTAAACTGTGAAAGCAGTTTGTTACTCATGGCTCTGTTAGTATTTTCTTAACCACTTTTCTGTTATACCAAATAAATCACAGTTCTTCTTTCTGTTAATGTTGTACAGCATAAACAAATGTTAAAAAAAGTGTCCATTATTATCATATTTACTTGAATATAAGATGAGGTTTTCCCACGCAAATCAGCATGAGGAAAAAAGCCACTTGCATATAAGGAAAATACATTAAATACATAATCTATCTTTGAACTGCTGCTAAAAGCAGCATGTGCTCAGTAATGGAAACTAACGATGAAGTTGATTAAATGCAGCTAACACTAAGCACAAGTATAAAGTACACAGACCATATTAGGCAACCATACTAATGGGAACCGTGTAGGTGTGGGGGTGGGAGCATTTGGGTGTATGTGGGTGCTTACTCTGCAGGGAACTGTCACCAGGCTTAGAAATACTAGAATACCAGGCCAGCACATGGAGCGCCAGAGCCAGCCCTGATATCCTCCCCTTGGTTCCATTTGATCTTAGCCAAAAAGATCAAAATGCTAATGGCAACCTACCATAAGAACAGATTACTGCAACCCATCTGAAGAAGATATGTGGTACTGCCCACTGAGTACAGTCTCCCTCAGCTCTAACTCTTCTTCAAGTCATGGTGTACACTGCACACATTTCAACTGCCTCTTCATCCCTACAGCTGAGCTGCGCTTTTCTTTCCCATTTCCAATGATTCCTGTTTCTTCATCAGACTTAAATGTGTGGCAAACATCGCCAAACGGGGCCCCAAATGGTTCACCCACAATCCCTGTCACCCCCTCGCTCACCCTGCTGCATATGATTAGTGTAGTCCTGCCCTCCATGATGTGGGGCCAGACCAGGTTGCTCTGCGCCTCATCTGCATATAAATTACTGGAGAATCCCATGACTCATGACAAGAATACCCAGTTCCATTCATGAGCAGAGGGCTACTTAGCACATGGCTCCTTTGTTGCAGGTATCTGGAGTACACACACACACAGCTGAGCAGTGCTGAGCTGTGGGGTCACCACGGCTTGAAACGCTGTTGACTTTGCTGGGGCCCAACATGATAAACTCCATGGTAACTAAGGAGCCTTCTAGTGTTGGACTCATATAAAGCATAGTTTGTACTATATGTAGTAGTGCCAATGTGCTACTTAAAAGCATACTTATAGAGTACCTGTGTTAAAACTTGCAGCAGTTTCAAAAAAGGTAACATGCATCAATTTTGGATGAACTAAGTCTATGGGTACCATCTATAAACTGATATAGCCATGTTTATTTCAAAGTCAGTTTTTTCAAATTTGCTCCTCAGCTGGGCCGTGGGTTCTGTGGACAGAGGTGCAGCCTCCCAGCTGCCTGCTACAGTTGGCCTAGGACCACAGTGCAGCTGCCTGCAGCCTCTGCACCTCCTGCTGTCAGAAGCCCTGCCCCACCTCCCACCCTTCTTCTCTTCCCACCATGTTCCAAGACTGAAGGGTTTCCTGACTTTTTGTCTGCTTGCTGCTAAGTTTGTTTTTGGTTCAGAGAGTCTGCCAAAATCACAGAGCCCACTACTTGAGGATGGCCCAAAACTAGCTTAATTACTCTAAATCCAGGGAAGCCCTTAATCCATGCCTAAATGCCTGGATTAAGGGTTTTCCAGGGCTTAATCAGGGTAATTAAGACAGGGTTTCAAGCCATGTGGCAGTCTGCAGGGAGGAGTGGGACTGCTCGGGCCCCTCAGCCAATCAGAGATGTGGGGGGGGGGGGGGGGGGGGGGGGGCTGCTGCGTTCAGTGCATGAGAACAGCAGCCAGCCCCAAGATCTGCCCATGTAATTGGCTAGCTGCCTCCTTATGTTTAGTAGACCCCTATTCATAGTTTATCAATAAAAAAAATGTTACAATATTTCATAAATTAATACATGGATTAATTACCTTATATCATGGGTGGGGATGTAGGTTGTAGTATACTTACCATCACCGCAGTTAAATTTTTTCATAAAGTGCTTTTCGTTTTCTTCTTCAGGGTAACACAGAGACTTATTCCAATAGCGCTCAGCCTGCACTCTTTGCACAGACACTCTCTGAGTTTTTGGATGAAGCAGCAGCAAAAGCAAAGGTTCAAGAACCCTTGCGATGTCATGTCTTTGGAGCACTTGGTTTAACCAGGCTTGTCCCACTGACCAGGTAGAACCATCTAGGCTGTTAAGGCTGTCCAGCATGATAAACAAAGACCTGGAAACAAACTGGAATAAATCTGTGTTGCTACACTACAATGTAGCCTATTTATTTAATGTAAACTATTATAAATATCAACATTTTCCCAATGACTAGAACAGTGATTCTTGACCAGGGTCCTGTGGTACCCTGGAGTGCTGTGACATCCTTTTAAGGGTACTGCAGGGTGTCATGTAGTATTTGAATTTTTAACATGCAAACACCTACACATGATTCACAAGATAAACCCAGAGATTGCAAATAGGAATCCACTAGTTTAAAAAATATTATGAGCTATGGCTTTCTGAATACATTGTAACAAAAGAAAAAATACTCTATTGTTTTTACTTAGTCAAGAAAAGATGAAAGCTAAGATCTGGCATTTTCCAAGGGGTTTCAGAACCACTGGTCTAGAAACTTCCTATGTTTTTACAACTTTCATGTGCAAATGTTTACTTTTCAGACCCAAAATAATTAAGCAGAGAAGGCCTAGTTCTCATATCTCATCCTTGCATATAAACATAACAAAGAATGCCAAGATGCCCTAATCAGTAAACCTGCCTCAAATTTTAAAAAAATTGTATTGCTCTATTTGTTACAAGAATGCATTTACCAGTTTTTAATGAATTGTCTATTAAGGAACAGTCTTACTTTAGCTTTATTCAAATGATCATTGTAAGAAATATATCCCATAGTTGGCTTTGTATACAGACAATTTATTCAGAAATCAAGTAGAACTTGCACTGAGAGATCCTCCATTTAAAAATGAGTTATATAACCTAAGAAAATAAAGGGGGCTAGAAAAATTAAAAAAGCAAAGTGATCATAACAGAACTGTTACTTACTATGTCTGTATGGTATCTAACACCCTGAAACTGTGATGGCAATATAAATGATCAAACAGTTTTAAAATCTATTTACAAATTTATGAAAATAAATATTTTTCATTAGCTGAGAGCATTACCCTCAAGGATTTGGAAAGGAAATATGGCTTACTTAGCAATACTGTGCTTCCTACTTTTTATCATTTTCTCCTTTTTATATTTTAGTCTTGTTAGTCCTTTGCAGAAAGGAAAAATTAATAACTGTAACATCTTTTAAATAATATATGCACTGGCCTTTAATCCTTAAAAAAATATTTTTAATACTATTATGTGATACATTTCATAAGCCCTTCTACTGTGTTTAGAGAATTTACCATCTCCACTTGAGCAGAGAACAAAAGCAATAGTTCAAAAAGAAACTGAAAACTAATCAATACGTTACTGTACTCTCCCACAGCTGTAATAAAGGGTACCAAATATAGACTGATTTTTTCCTGACACCTTCACACAAAGTTTTTATTTGTGTGTGTGTAGTTCTAGCTGAGGAGAATGAGAATAGATTGCTTCTGGTCATTTGGTGCAGAAATCTGGGAACACAGTCTCCTCTTCTGTGTTAGTAAGAAATATCTCATCAAAAATATAGGAGATCAAATATAGATGAGGCAAATTTATCTTTAAATTCAAGCAACAACTTGAACATTTTTTAATTCTTTCAGTCCTTCTGTCAATCCATATTCTGTTTTTGAATAAAACACTGTATTTCTATTCTGTTCTGGGTGGATCCTCTTTCCATCCTTCACCTTTATTAACTCATAGCAAGGATGAGAACAAATAGGATCAATGTTTGTTTTTTTTAAAATACAGTGCTCACATATTTAGTTAAAATTGCTGGGCTGAACATGGCCCCAGATTACTGTTCCTGCCCTAGTCTTCACAATACCACCAGTTAAGTCTGTAACCTATACATTAAATACTAACTTTATTGACTGTTACTTTTAACTTCAATTACACCAGTATTTTATAACAGTGCTTAATAAAATACATTAATTAATGTGTTTTTTTAAAACTGAACGGTCAACTTATTTTGCACAGTTAAATGTAATGGAAATGGAGATTATCACCAACTATAGACATGATCACCAACCTGTCAAAAGAACGTCCAAAGGAAGACGACTTGTTAATATGAAGGTCTCTGGTCAGATGCCAAAGAACTGCAAACTTAGCATGGGCTTCCATCCTTACTTTCTGTGGAACAAAACATAGGTTAAATTTAAGTAGATATCATTGCCTCTGAGAAGAAGCGAAAAAAAATATAGACAATAACCTAAAGATAATATCAACATATTAAAAATAAATTAACATCAACTGCTAATTAAAATTTACTATGCGGTTAAAAATATTTATTGAATTCTTAAAGACACTAACAGATTTGTTTCCTTGCTAGAACCCTAAAGTGATCTGTAATCTTAAAAGATAATATTTTTATATTAAGCTTAGCTTCTTCTTTCCCCAAGTTCAGTGTAAACAAAAATTCGAGCAATAAGGAAATATTTTTAGGAGAAAAACATTTATTTCTATTGCTCACCAAGCTTTGTTTTCATTGTATTACGATTGAGGGTGAGATACAGGCATAGCATGGGTCTGGTATAATACTGTACAGTGCAAAAGAAGAAAGAAAAAGAAAGCAAGACTAGACTGAGAGACACTGCTACATAGAAAAGAAAGAAGAGGCAGAAAATGAGGTAAGCAGGAAGATAGTTCTATGGTTAATATATCATACTGAAACTCAGGAAATATGGGCTCAATTTCGATTCAGCTCTAGCACGAATTTCCTGTAGACCTTTAGTTAAGTCATTACTTTTCTGTTACTTTCTGCCTCCATCTGTAAAACAGGGACAATGATACACTCTCTTCCTCAGCAAGACTTGTGAGGATAAAATTAAATAGTAGTGCCAACGTGCCTAGATATTGTCAAGAGGCGATCAGAAAGTAATTAGGTAAAAAGACAGACAGAAAGTTGTGAAGATGTGAGAGTGTGAATAGAGAAGAGGCTGATGATGCCACCTGAACACAGGGTCAGAACTGGGGGAGGTGCACTGGTGCACTTGCACCCCACTGATTCCTGTTCCATCCAGAGTTTAAAACCAACTGCCTGGCCATAGCAGCAGCATTTCTGATCAGGTAGTGCTGAGAGAGTCGACTGACTTCAAAGACCATTCTAGTCTACCAGATCTCTTCTAAATTCTTCATCCTTAGGTGTTAGCAACTTAGTTTTCTTCTTTTTAATGGTCTTGATGTTTCACCAATCAAACTATCCTTTGTTCTGCAACGCTGCTGTTAGCTGCTTCTGGTAATGAAGCTCCTATTTCATAGCCCTGCAGATTGTTTTTAACCCCTTTCAATTAAGTTGTATTTGTTTTTACTTCAACCTTAAACTGAATAATACAGACCTAAGTAGGCCCCTAGTGTATTATCAAAGCTTGTAGTAGGCAACTGTCAATCCTCTGGATCATGGTGTATGCATAAGAGGTCTAGCCAGGTACCTGATGAATTTGCTTGTATGGAGTCCTATGACCATCACTTCAATATCTTCAACATGTATGCCTAGGGAAGAGTATGGAGGAGTGGGGGCTGCCCAAGACCTACCATACCCTGCTTTAGACCACTGAGACAGAATCCACAGCCGAGACATTCAATGCTGTGATGGTTGTAGCTTCTGCCCGAGAGCAACAGATAAGAACTGTTGCTGACTGCCTAACACATCAGAGAGGGCGTATTTCTGTCAGGGTGATGTCCCTTACCTTTCTCCAACCAAGGAGTACCCACCAGGCAGTGGGGCCTAGGGTTTTGAGGCACCCTATACTTACCTTACTCAGGTTACAACATTGTAGTATTTTATAGGAGCTACCCTACCACAAGTAGACCTGCCACACTGCCACCAGGCACTTCAATCAGATGCAGTTTAAGGTCATACCCAGGACCAGCAAAGCTTTTAGTTTATTTTTAACTGGAGAAAAATATGTGTTGTTTTATACATGATGGTGCATCTCACCATCTGCACCTTGCCCTTTTCAAAATTCTATCTCCACCCATGACTGAACAAATATAAAGTTCCGTATGTATAAAGTTTGGTCCTAAATATCTGGTATCTGCAGTTTTTGGCACATGCTCGAATTAATACAGGCAGTCCTCGACTTACAACGCTTTGAGTTGCAATGTCGCACTTACAATGTTTCTAAATTGACACCCTGTTTCAACTTTCTGACATCAGTTTCGACTTTACAACACTTGATCTGATGCAACGCCATGACAGCGAACAAGTTCGCTGTGTCGCCCATCTCCCTGGAGAACATCTGTTCAAACTTCCTTGGATGCTTGCTTTAAGAAAGCAGACGAGACTCCAGAAAAACCTGCAGCCAAGACTCCTGAGAAGAATCCAACCAAGAACCCTTCAAAAAGTCCAAAGTCACCTCAAATAAGTCCTTCCAAATCAAGATGATTGCTATTTACAATATAAATACATGAATGTAGCTATATTACTCATCTATAATTGACTGAGTACAAAATTCTGGGTTATTTTTGGCGGAAACAGGGTATCGGGCCTTGGTTCAAGAACCAAGCCCCCATTAATAACATTGTTTCCTATGGGAAAATTGGTTCCAAGTTACAACGTTTCGACTTAAGACGCCATTTTCAGGAACCAATTGTGTCGTAAATCCAAGGATTGCCTGTATATATAAATTTTACACGTGTGTGCGTACACGCCCCCCCCCACACCTCCTCCACCCACTATTGAAACTGCTCACATTCATTACTGAACCATCAAGTCCTTCATTTACACATGCAACTCTGTTGCTGCATATCCAAATCCTTCTCATAACTGACTTTTTAACACCTTATAAATAGCTTAGAAAGTTTACCTTGTCTCTATGAGTCAGCTGTTGACTTATAACATCCTCACAAATGCTAGAAGATGGAACCAAGTTGTGTAACTGGTAGAAGAGCTCCACACTCTTCTGATGATGTTGAGGGGTTGTATCACCCAACTGGTCCCAGAGAGTTAAAGCTATATGCTTTGTAAACAAAAATAAGTTGTAAGAAACAGAATGAATAAATATCCTGCATTCTGCTTAAGAATTACTAGCTTTACACTCTGAAGGGAGCCCTTTAGTGTCAGCAGTTGAAAAATATGACTAATTGGGACAAATTATGGGATTATAAATTGCTTATGCCTAAAGAAAAACAGCCCTGAAACAGAGTGCTAACCTATTGTACAAAATTGCCGAAAATTTCATTGTAAAGATCCAATGCTTTTTACTTAATTTCTGTAATGGCAGAATATTTAACTACCTGATATATTCATTCTTGTGTTAAGAATTTCTAATGTCCTTGCATAACTCATCTCCAGAATGTTATATTTAATACTGTAATTATAATTTAAAAATTAAAATATTTATTTTGTAATAAACTTTTAAAAGAGAGTTCTCATTCTACAGTCACTAGGATCACGCTTTAAAATTGTTATTCTTTAAATTAATATCTATCCTAAACATCTTCTACCAGTTTCATGTCTTTGCTGCCTCCATCATCGTCTCTGGAAGCTCAGTTACTTAGTTCTTTCATTTACATTTTCAAAATACTGATTCAAATTAAGTATCTAACCTGAGCTGTAGATAAAACACTTTTAGTCATAGTACCTAAATATTTCATTTAAACTACAAGAACAAAATATAACATATATCTTATCCTTAAGCTATATTTATTATTCTAAGAATAGTTAGATAGGTAAGGTTGCTGATCTTCACTTATAAAGAAATATGCCTTGCTGCTGGAAATGTAGTCTACAGAAAATAAGACAAAAATATTGCATGAACAGCAAGGTAGCTTCTTGTACCTTGAAAAAATCTGTCTTTTCTGCCATATATCTCAGGTTGCCTTGAGTCAGAGGTGGCCTGATAACGACAGCCACTCTTCCTTGGTTTGGACTAAGAGGCTGTTCAGTATCCACACTGTTCAGATTTTCTCCAGTGACAAGAGCAACAGATTGAGTCATTCCAACCAAGTCCATTATCAAAGAAATAGTTACACCTTGAACACTAAAATCACTTGCTTGCCTGCAAGCATTCATAAGGGTCTGGAGCCACAATGGAGGATGCACCTGTTCACAGTCTGAAATAAAAATCAAAGGAAATATTTTTTATCACAACAATTGAAACTGCAATTACATTTTATTCCATTCTGCATACTTGTCACACACAATAACTTCTGGTTACTTAAGCTTCACTACAGTCCTCTCTCTTTTGTATTTGTAACCGTTTTTTATCCTATGCAGAAAATGATGGATGCAGACAATAAACAACCCTATTTTGAATAACGTTGGAAGCAAACAATAAAATAATTAATTATGTAATAATGCATCACTTTCTTTAAAATATGCAAAATTAATATGTGAAAACAGACAGAAGATGAAAGGTCATTTTCTTAAGAATGAATATAAAAATCTGTTAGATAAAATATTTTCCCTTTTCAAGATAAAGTGAACACAAGTTCTCTTGTTCTCAGCTAGATGCTAGATTAGACCACCATATCTATAAAATGTGTGAATATCACCAAGCCAATCCTAGTATTGTTATGTTAGTTTCAACAGCTTTGTGTATGACATTTGATATATGCATTTTATTCAACGTATGAGAACCCCTGGGATTCAAACCTGAGACTGGCATCTGTAGTCAGAAGCCCAGGATGCAATGCCACTGCACAGTTGGGAAAACGCCACTCAACCTAATGGGGGACTCAGTAACTTGGGCAGGGGAGAGGAGGCAGAGACCAGTGTGATTATAAAGTGCCTGACTGGAGGGGTATAAAACCCTCCCACTTCCTACAGAATCTTGTCTGAGCAACAGCATTGTAAGGTGTTGTTGTCTTGAACTTTCCCACTTACACTTGGATTCCTGTCTTTGACATCTTGGCCTTCTCATCAACTGTTCCCCTGACCACAACTATGTCTTGACACTTGACTTAACACTCTGGCAACTAAACAGATACCTGGCTTTGACCATGGTTATTTAGGTTTTGGTAAACCCCAGACTCTGGTTCAATTGTTCTAGCCCATGCTAGTTGTTCCTGGTTTCCTATTCCCTGGGTCCTGCTTTCTGAATTTCTGGCTTCATCCTTGTTCCTGGGTCCTGCCTATTGACCCCTCTGTTTCAGATTGCCTAGCTGGCTCCTGGCTTAATTAAGTGACCACTTACATCCTGGTTGTAAGCCTGATAAAAATGTCACACCCATAACTGGAAGAGTTAGGATAGCACAACTTTTAAATGTAGACTCTATTTAATGAAGAATTTGTGCTCACTTTATCATGAAAAGAGAAAATATTACGTACGTAACGGATTTATATTAATGCAGTCACTGGTCAGAATTGCAGCATTTTCTACTGTCATGCCATAGAAAAAGTATGTAAGTAACCCTTAACTTGCACATCATTGAAGCTAGGAAAGCATTACTATTTGTATCTTACAAATGGCTCAAAGAGGTTGTGACATGCCGAAAATCCGACAGGCAGCAAAGGCAGAGTAAGCAACAGATCCACAGAAGACTCTCAGAATTTTACATAGCTAGGAAATTAATTTTTAAGGGGCACAACCACGTTATTTTATAATTGAACTTATGTTAATCTACTCTTTTATAAAAGATATATTTCAGGTATTCTGGATCTAATTAAACTATATATATGCCATACCCCTAGGGAAAATAATGAGGACATATACACTCAAAATTCAGTCTGAATGATGTGTCAAAACATAAGCTATTGCCATTAAACTTGGTAAATTACATGCATTTAAAAACCTTCATTTTCAAAATCTGTAAAACAAAGTAAAACCCCCAAACCTACAATGTAAAGTTTCAAACATAAATAAACAAGAGCCAAGACATCAGAGACAAGGCTTTATTTTAAATCAGGGCTGTCAAACTCATCTGGCCCTCTGAGCCAAATGAGTTGCCTGGGACCAGTCAACAGAACAGATGAATGGTGTGGAGCTGGCCCCTCGCGCTGGCTCAGGTCCATGAACAACACTCCCACACATGCCTGATGGATGCAGCATTTGCTTTAGCCAGTCCAGGACTACACCATATGTGGTACCTGCTCTGGCCAAACTGAGATGGGACTGGTGTGCAACGTTTGCTTCAGCTGGTTTGGGGTGTATGTCCTGTGTAGGGCAGGTCCCAGACTGGCTGGAATGGGTGCTGTATATAGTGTAGTCCTAGACTGGCCAGATTGTGCAGTGGATCTAGCAAGCGGGAGACCCACAGAGCCATCTCCGCCCCCTTTTGCACTTGCTAGATCAGTGCCTAATCCAGGATTGGCACTGCAGATAGTGCCAACCCCAGACCAGTCAGAGTTAGTGCTGTGTACAGCAGTCCTGGAGGCACCATGGGTGCTGGATCTGATATGTGCAGGAAGGAAGCAGTCCTGGACTGGCGCTGTATGGGACCAACACTTGGGGCCAGATGATGTGGATGCGTGGGCCATATTTCTGACACCCGTGCTTTAAAGGTAACACAGTTTATACCTCATACTCCTGTCTCATACTGTGTAAGAACTTGTAACTACAAATGTCTTGAATTTTGTCAGATAGCATTTATTACTATAACTTTAAAAATGTTACTTTATTAATAAATTGATCAAGATTAATTAATTATTCCTATAATTTTGTGTGCATACAGTACTATATAATCCTCACCTACATTTTACTCAGCTCCACTATATTTGATTAATTTCTTCCGATATATCTGTAACCAGTCTAGCTTTACTATAAGGAAATTATATAAGCTTTAATCTTTTCAACAGCAAAATAAATTTAGAGAAACTCCAGACAGAGGTATATATTTTACTGACCTGAAATGTATAACTTAAACTGGCATATTTGTTTTACAGTGTTATTAATGTGGATGTTATTATTATTAAAATTATTATTGTGATATATAAAATATTATTATTACCACTGCTATTATCATTGATGTTATCATGATTATTTATTTTATGAATGTAGATATCACTCTAATATCTTGAAATGGGGTCAAATACAGACTAGCTATAGGCTTCTGACTATAACTTGCATACAATCACTGTTCAAGGCATATGAAAAGCACTATTAACAGAGAACCTATTAACAGGGAGGTGGTGCTCTCCCCTACCCTGGGGGTCTTCAAGAGGAGGTTAGATGAGTATCTAGCTGGGGTCATCTAGCCCCAGCACTCTTTTCCTGCTTATGCAGGGGGTCGGACTCGATGATCTATTGAGGTCCCTTCCGACCCTAACATCTATGAATCTATGAACCCTGATAGAAGCACCAATTGTGTGTTTCATATTTTGAGTGCACAATTTGGAGGCTGGGTTTCATTCTCAAGTCTCTTTCTCCATTTGTCTATATTGGCTAAAATTGGCCTGTACAAATTCTCACAACAAAATGTATCTTATAGGAAAAACCTTTTTTAAACATAATAGTGCTAAAAAGTACGTAACTTTCCAAAAAAAAATTCTACACCATAAGAGGAAAATATATGTTCCTAAAAAGAGCAATAAGGAAAAAACCCCAAATATATAGTACAAACCCTTAATAATTATTTTTTTTCTTAAAATAAATAGTTTAAACTAAGAATAGAAAAACAGGGGGGGGGGGGGGGGGGGGGAAATGAAGAAATACTACTTACCAACATCTGATTTCCCAGCATGTAATTCTGAAGTACGATTTCCCTCTGCAATGTAAACTGGAAAACTTGAACATTCAAGGTATAGCTGACATGCAGCAATAAAGGCAGAAAGGTATTCTTTTCTGAATTTTTTGTTTATTTTTTTCCCTTTAGCATCTCCTTGTGATTCTCTCTCCCATTTTGCTGGTTGTCCTTGCTCTTTAGTATGGTCCTGTTGAAGGTCTGCTGCCAAAGACTGAGACAAGGAATTATTCTGAATGATATACAGGTTGATAAATCTGGTTAAAAACTGTTGGACATACTCCAAGCAGCACTGCATTGCAGTCTTTTGGATCGTCTTCCCATTTCGAGTGGCTGGTCCCTGTGTTGTTATGGAAGGGGGCTGTACAATGGTTTCTTCAGATCCCACAGTTGATGCCGTTTCAGTCTCTGAGGATGTGCTACCTACAATAGGGATACCAGCAACTCCATGACATTCACTCACTGCTCTATCAATATCATCAGCTGTGTCTGCTTGGTACTGCACAAACTCAGTGAATCCACTTTCTGATGATCGACTACTTGGAGGATTTTCACTATCTTCAAATACATCATTAGGATTTTCAAGTGAAACTGATGGCACCTAATTGAGACAAAAGTATGTATAGCCACATATTACAAAGTAATAATGAATGTCAATAATTAGTAATAAGAAATTAACTTAGTTCCCATTTTGGAAACTATGGCACTCTAGAGGTTCCAGCGCATTATAAAGTTTTAAATTATGCCTACTGTATACTTTTACCACTGCATTCTAGTGCACTTGCTCATCTATTTTTGATGCCTTGCAGCATTGTTGGTCATGTTAAAAATCAAACTTAGAATTCTCAAAAATGTATTTATAATAAATTATATCAACTATAAAAGAAGCAAATATTACTTATCAAGTGAAAAGAGTCATTTAAAAAGTTTTAAGATATATAATTAATATGCTGATGTGGCAGAAGGAGAAGGGATCAACATGGTAAATATAATAATTTGAAAAAGCATTTGAAATATGTATACATATGATATTATTATTAATGTATAAAGCACTTTATGCCAAAGTGCCAACATGCCAAACTAATATAATTTCTTCTCTATAACAGGAAGCAAGGCACTAAACTACAGCTTAATTTATGGTTATTTTGGCTTCTAGGAGGATATATTGAGTTTTAAGATTTGCTTTTAGAAGACCAAAATAATTATCCATTTATGAGTGCAGCAGTTTTCCAATTAAGTACACTATAAACGATGCAAGTGCGCGGAGGCATTTAAAAGATGTCAAAACAGAGGCTTCAGAAGATGGGAGAAGGTGGGAAGAGATACAGATTTATCTATAATCACAGATAGTTTTACATAATGTCATTGTACAAGTAAATAATTACATTAAAGATTATTAATAAATTTTGATTAAGTTCTATAGGTGCACTGCTGACATGGGCTTCCCAGTTATAACTGTTTACTTCTGTAGGATGAACCAGTTTTATGCAATATAAAGTATTAAGTATGCAAATTTCTTGCAAAACAAAAAGCAAAAAAAAACAAACCCTAACACAAAAACAGCTTAATTTTGGAGCTTTAAAGATTTTGCTACTAAAAGTATAAAAAAACCAGAATTTTTCCAACTGTTTTTTAAACAAAAACACTATTAATTATCGAGTTATTACACCTTCTCTATCAAATGTAAAATTTAAATTCCAATATCTTTTTCATAAAATGAAAACCTAATCTATAAACAAGTCTAGAGTATCTCAATACAGAGCACACCATTATTTTTAAATCTATAACTTAAGTGTATCACCTAGTATCTTTCCTCCCTTACCCAAGATATAAAATAAATAAAAAACTGAAGCAGGGAATTTCCTTCCTGTAGTTGTGAAAGGAGAAATGCACAGTTTGATTGAAAATAGCCAACTGCTGATGAGATCAGACAGAAATGTACATTTTTAGGAATAGAAAAGAACAATTACTTATGTTACAATAAAAGAGGTTTTTGAGATGTGTTACCTACACTGTGGGTGTGCATATTGTAGGTGTACACTACAGGTATGCAATATTGCAGGGTTGTCCAATTTTAAAGTGCCTAGGGACCACATGCCCCACAGGTCGCACCAGTGGGGGCTGCATACCATAGGCGCACCACACCACAGGGATCACGGGCCCTAAGGCTGCATGCCCTGTGCAAGCTGGCATGGGCAAGCGCCCCTCACCCTGCCGTACCAAAGGCATTGGCAGGTACACCCCAGTGCAGTGCAGCATCTCACCTCACCTTCAGCTCCCTGAGGGCTCCTCTGTGGCACCAGGTCATACATTCACTCCAGGAGGCTCCCCTGGTACCACGCAAAAACTGGGGGAGGGAGAGAAAGTCCTGAGACAACCAGGCTGCTCTTGCAGCAGCCAGAGCAATAGGAGCAGCTGCAGGTGGGTGGGAGCCTGGGGGCCACATGCTAATCCCTCATGGTCCCATAGGCTGCCAGTTGGATATCAGTGTCCACTGTGACAACCCTCATGCCCTGTGTGCCCCCATAAGCACTACAGTGGTGAGCAAAAGTGACGAGTTGGCCTCCACCTCCACTTAGTTCCTTTGACAATAAGAATCAACAGAGCTTTCAATTAGTCATTAAACAAAGGAGTTGCAGGGGTAAACGTATGAACAGCAACCCAGGTAGTGGCCCCACATGTTTCAAATACCATTATCCAAAACATACTCAGATAAGTTTTGGATGGGAAAAGTTATTCTCTAATTCAGGGATCAGAAACCTACAGTCCACAAGCCAGAAATTGTCCCTGGCAAGATTTAATCCAGCCTATTTAGGGAAGTAGCAGTGCCCAGGTTGAGAGTAGCTGCAGCCTGTGTTAGGGCTGAGTTGTGTTAATGTGGGCCCACTGTTGATAAAAGCTTGCTGACCCCAGCTCTGGTTTTTTGTAAAAGCCATGGACAGGCCAGAGGAAGGTATGAATGACTTCACTGTGCCATTAAAAGACAATGTCTTTACCATATTTAATGTGTGAAATCTTGCTTCACAAGGGATGGAATAAAGCTTCACGAAGAAAATTAGTAACTGGATAAATTGATTGAGGCAAAAATCTGAAGCTGCCTGAGGAAGAAAACTGGGGTGAGGCCTAAAGATGATCCTGTCCTTAAAAAATATGCCATACAGAGGAATAGACATGGGGATTTAATTTCTTCTATTCTTCTACTTGAAGTGGTATCCACAACTTGCTAGAAAGAGCAGTTGCCATAGGTCCAAGAAAGGCTTTATTATGTTAATGAGGGTTAAGCTGAGATCCCAGAAAGAGAAGGCTCCTTCATAGCCATGGGTAGGATCTTCCAAGGAATTTCAACAGGATGAGCCTGGAACCCAGGGGGTGGTTAGTAGAAATTGCTACTAAATTTGCCATACAAGAGAGTCTCCATTACATCTGGGTAAGCAGATAACTCAGGTCGATAAGAATTGATGTTAGTAACAAAGATCTATCACTCAAACAGCGAGACAGAAAACCTCTTCCATTTACATGTGTAGATGGAAGGTTTCCTACTTTTCTGAAGGCACTTTTCAAATAGGCTGCTTCTTGCCAACGAGCACCCAGGCTGTCAGTTGCAGGTCCTGGGTCTGAGAAATTAAGTCTGGAAAAACTGGCAAAGAGATCAGTGACGTCAGGTCAAAGAATCAAAAATCTCTTAATCGTGCTAAGGCTATTATAATCTCACAGCCTGAATCCTGTTTCACTTTTCTGATAACCAAGAGCCTCAGCAGAAAAGGAGGGAAGACAAACTGTCCCAGTGGCCACTGAACAAGAAAACTGTGTCAGAACTGTGATCATGATCCCCTCCCTCTGGAGGGAAACATCTAGCACTTGTCACTGTGATGGTAAACTCCCACCGGTGGAAGATGTGGAAAAAACAGACCATTTACAATTCTATGGAAAATTCCTGATGAGTTATGCCAGTAGAGTATCTCATAGGAACAGAAAAGCAGGCAGTCACTGAAGTAATGTGTTAGAGCATCACCCCAGTTCCAAAGATGTTTTAGTGCCTAACAGAATGGATGTTTGCCAGGATATTAGTAAAAGGCTTCAGAAGCCACACAGAAACCAACTGGCAGAACTCTATACCAGTAGTTCAAATCTTCACAAACTACAGGTATCAGTCTGCAACTGATACTCCTTGATATTCCCTATCCCTGGGAAATAGAAGAGAAAAAAACATGAGGAACTTAGAGATATACAGTATAGCAACACTACCATTGTATATGGGCAAAAAATCCTCTGGAAGGACTCCAAAAGAAACGAAGTTAGATTTTTCAGGAGTGCTTGCTATAAACCAGATCTGGTACTTCTTGAAATCAGTGGTAAAAGTTCTAAGGACTACACTGTAAGCAGAGTTCGGCTTATCTTATCTTGAAAATTCCGTTTTTTACCTTTTTCAGAAAAGAACATATCGTATAACTCACAGAGGATATGGGTAGGGACCTACCAAATTCATGGTTGGCCAATTTTTATGGAAACTTGCATTCAGGTGTGCTCTGTGAAAAATGGTGGGCTCCATAAAATTGGGCAGGCTCCATGATTTTGGCGGGCCTGCTGAAAAAAAAAACCACCTTACTGAAAATAAAATGCTATCTCCCTCTGTGGAGCCAGCAGTCCTTGTGGCCACTGTGGCCTGGCTGTGCAATACACTGTGAGGAGAACAGCTGGCTCGAAGGGCTGCCAGCAAGATGGCAGCTGCCCTGCCCCTCACCGCTGACTGGCTGAGAGGGCTGCCCATTGTGTGGCCCCACCCCTCTCCACCAATCAACAGCAAGAGGTGGGGCCACATGGACAGCCTTTGCAACCAATCGGTGGGACAGGGTGAGGCTGCATGACAGGCAGTCCTTGCAGCCAATCAGCAGCATAGGGCGTGGCCACTGGGGCTCCTCGGCCAGAGGCAGGGGAGTGAGGGGGGCTGCGCTCAGCCCATGAAAATGCCTGCCGGTCCAGAGATCTACCCATGAAAATCAGCCAGTTGCCTCCTCGAGTTAGTAAGACCCCTAGAAATAAGTCTATTACCTTTTTATCTTCCCATTCTTTAACGGAGCTGTTTTGTCCACTTGGAAGCTGCAAAATACCATCTGTGCCTGCGGACAACAGTGGAGGTTGAACCTTACTAAGGATCTTTGAGCAGAGTCTGAGGGAATCAGTTAGTTCAGACAAGTGCAAAGTATGAAGATGGCTCGTCAATGCAGAAATCATTCTAAGCAACAATTGAGGCAAGTGCTCCGTCTGTATTTCAATATAGGTTTCCTAACAAAAAGATAATAAAATTAAGAATATGTTTTTAAACCCCATCCCAAACTTACTTATAGTTCCATTATTATTCAAGTAATTTTATTTTAAGCTTCTTAAAAATAGAGAAGGCAAATAAAATCTAGCAGTCCAAAATGTCAACTATATTTTACACTAACTTTATGGGACAGAAAGGATAGTGTAGGATAGCTTGTAATGTCTTGAAAATATTCATGCATTATTACCATTCTAGTCCTTTTAATTAACAATACAAAGACATTACAACATTTCTTATAACAATGCTAGGACTGAAAAGTTCTATTTTTCTTTGTATTTTATTTTCTTTAAAGTACGGAATTAAGAATGAAATGTAACAAATCAGTAAAAACTAAAGAGAAAACAGGCTGAATGTCATACCTGACACAGCACTCTCATACTTCTAGTAGGCTTTGAAATGAGAAAGCAAAGAATTGAGGAGAAGAAAGATATACAAAAAACAGTTCCAAAAGTCTTCACTGAATTAAGCAATGCTAATAAAGAAACGATAAATATCTTATTCTGATATTCAAGAGAACTAATATCAAAACAAAATGTGCCTTCTAAACTATTATGTAAAATACATATAAAGTATTGCAAAGTAAATGGGTACATTTGTAACTAATACAGAGCAAACTTTAAAGAAGAAAAAGAGAAGGGCTAAACTCAAAATAAAGTTAGTTAAAGAACTTGTAGGCTTATGCATCAGAAGAACAAAAACTGATTTATTGTATGTAATAGGATCCAGTCAATGTACCCCAAAATTTTTTTGAACTTCTAAAGCAGGGGTGTCAAATACGTGGCCCGTGGGCCAGATCCAAACCATGGAGCCATGTCATCTGCCCTGCAAGGCTCCTGGAGGGGCCAGGAATTTGGAAGCAGGGAAAGTGGGGGTGGGGCCCGCTGCCAAAAAGGAGCCTTTTTTTAACCCCCATGGCTCCCTTTTGCTCTGTTCCTTCACCATGTCCAGATCCAGCCTGCAAGGAGGCTCATGGTCCAGATTTGGCCCACGAGGAGCCCTGCAGGCCAGATCCAGCCCAGGGGGTTACTGGGTGAGTTTGATAGCACTGTTCTAAAGTAATGAACTATTTCATACAAAATATTCCTGGTTTTGCTCAAGGTTAATTCTCAAAAGTACTGTCCTCTTATACCTACACATGATGAGTAACAGTCTTACCAAAGAAACAATATCCAACAAAAAGTCCACTAGTAGACAGAAATTGGTCAGGGGTAGCTCAGATGGCTCGCTACCACGTCCAGGCCCAGTGTGAAGTCTAGCATGCAGTGTCCTCCTGTGAAATTAAAATAAATTTGTGCAGTCTTTTTGTTTCATTTATAGGCTTAGTTACAAAACAAGTTAAGGCACAGCTGTACACATCAAAGAATGGAATGATGTTTTATTAAAACTATGTTTTAATTTAAATTAAATCTATTTTAGTAAATCCAGATAGACCATGTCCTTTCAGCAGTAGTTGCATTTCACACTACAACTTGTGTTGATGATCAAAAATCTGCTATTCCAGTCATTATCTAATCAAGCATTTTTTTATTTTTTTTTTTTACAGTAGGAGATTTAAGAGCTCAGTCAGTTCGGTTTATCAAAACAAATAGTGAGAGATGACTTGAATACTATATGCAAGTACCTCCACAAGGAGGAAATTCTAAGTACTAAAGGGATTTTAATTTAATAAAGAAAAATATAACAAGAACTACTGGCTGAAGCTAGGCAAATTTTTGACAATGACGGGGATTAATCATTGGATCAATTAACCATGGGGGTGATGGATTCTTTATCACTTGGTGTCTTCAAATCAAAATTCAGTCATTCCAGAAGATATTTTAGCTGCAGAAATTAAGTAACTGGTCGAAATTCAATGGCCTATGAAACAGACGGTGAGAACAGATGATCCAATCTGACAATAACCACTAGGAACTTATGAATAATGTATGAAAAAAACTCATCTAAGTAAAGACAGATCTTGTCCAGGGTGGAAATACTATTTACAGATTTTAAAAAAACCCTGACTCCTCCTCTACACACAGTCGAGACATTCAGACATTAGCGTAACAAGCAACTATTTATACTAAAATCCCAATATACTCCTTGCTTGGCAGAAGGCTGGTTTCACTCATCAGGCATTTTGAATTAGTTTAATATTCTAAAACTAGAAGAAAAAATCCCAGGGTATATATATTGCTAAACAGATTCATCATAGCTTTTAGAAAATTCCTATCTTTGAGGAATGCATTATAATTCTTTACCCAATGCAGTTGTATTTATCTAAACCATACAAAAAGTCCTCTTGTAAATCCCTAAATTTCATTTAATTAAAAATCCCTGTAGAGGAGAAGACAGGTTTCATGCAAATTCTCATTTGGAGGAAGTTTAATTAGTGCACGTTTAATAGTAACATGTGTCCATACATTATCCTTGAGCATCGCTCAAGTGTCCCATGGCCATAATTCTGATTCAGTATGAAGCAATCTAGCTAAAACCTTTCTTTGCCTTTTTTTCCAAAGGAATTTTCCAATTCACACTGAAAAAGCAATTTGAAGAATATTAGTATACACCAATGAAAAAAACCTTAAGGTACTAAGAAAAATCACAATCTCAGGAAGTAGACTTGTTCTACATTTTAAAGTTGGGCCATCATAATTTTTCCAATTAGGGGTGTGACATTCTCATTTACACTGAAATGGTCAGCTCCCCCCTCCGCACCCCAAGACACTGTTTTGAGAACACTGCAAATGTAGATACTGTTCTATAAATATAAAGGTGACACAGGGTATGGCAAGACACATAGTAAAAGCACTCCAAGTGCTTTTTCGGTGGATCAATAGCATAGAGAGGTACAGTAGCCTTCTACCAAACCTGTTCTTAGTTTGCAGAGGTTGGGGGACAGGAAGGGTAGTGATCCCAGAACCCCGTTTGTCTGACCAACAAACCTATTGTGTGCTTGCTAAGTAGACAGAAACAATCTTTAAAGTGTGTCCAAGTTATACCTGTTCATTCAGTGTTAGTAGGAAGGCCAAACTGTTATCCGCCCATTCATATTTAATTGCTAAAATTTAAGCTCCTTAACAAGTAATAAAAATTACATCTGTTCACCTTCTTAAATTATTATACTAAATCCTCTTCCCATGGGGAACAGAAATCCTTATATAAAGTACCTTTGCACCAATATAACAGCATCCATACTGAAAGAACTACACCACCTTAACAACACAAATAATGCTTAAAGGGTACAATGTTCTAGTATAGAACTTAACACTTGAAAATGTCTAGTAGGGTGCCTTACCCATTCCCCTGCCAATGCACAAACAGGAGAGAGCCAGATCCAATTTTACACTTACAAGAATTAAACAGTGTAACTTACCTACAACATTCTTCAAACCAACGAGCAACGTAATCCCACATATAATAAGGCTCAAAGGAATTAAAGAGAAGATTGGCAGTTTTAATCAGCTCTGCTGTTTTCTTGTTTTCCCTCAGTTTGCTAAAAATAAATAAAGAGAAATAATGTCATTTAAGGTGTATTGCTACACTTTATTTTAAAAGTTATTGCATAATACTGATACTACATATTGATATAATATATGCTGATATTAATACAGTAGTTACTTTGGCAGCTCATCAGCTGAGTGTGCACAGTTACCTTTCCCATCATGACCTGGCATGACTGTCCAGCTGCTCATCATTCTCTGTCTGTATTTCCTTTCCTTCTCTATGTATTTTTCTGGGATTTGGTTTCTAATTTTCATTCTAATATTTCTTTATTCCTCACCCCCTGTTGTTTTCTCACTTATCCTTTCCTCCAAATCTTCCAGCATCCAATTTTCTTCTTTGTCTTTGCTTTAAATTTTCTTCTCTACCTGATGCTCTCTCCCATCCTGTAGTTTTGTTCTTTTCTTAATAACTTTGCTTCCTAAGAATTTCCCATCTCTTAGTGTCTCCCTATGTGCAAGACAAGAAGCTCCTCAAGCTAGTGCCTGCCTGTGCCGCCTCTCATCTATTGGCAACTGAAAAAGCTTTTCGTCACATTTCTGAAGACAAATAATGTTCTTCATATTCCAGTATTAACTGGACATGTACACTAAATATTCCAAAATAATGTCATTGATACTGGAACTATTTTCGCACAGTAAAAATTAAAAATTATAACTAGCGACCATAGGTCAACATGCTTTTGGGCCTTAATGCAAATCTTTAAGATCATTGGGAGCTCTGGCTTTAACTCTAAAAGAAGCAGAGGCAGGCTCCTACTCATTGCTACAAGTTTAGCATGCCTTCCAGCCACAAACAATATTTGATATCTATTATTTTATAAGTTTAGATTTAAACCTCAGAGTGTTTTCTGCTAAGGAATTAGTATATGTTAAACTCTCTCTTCTTGCAATCCACCTGCTTAGCTGTGTGTGGTCTTTATTGAAGGAAGGTTCCACCTGTAGATCCAGCTCTGCTTTGCACTGTGTATACAACGTTCTAAATACTTCAATCAGTACATCTTCTAAGATTGCAGGCCCTAAAATAAATACAAGAAATAACTACAATGATAATCTTGCATTTAATGATACTGCAATAATGAGAATCTGAATCCTAATCAAATCATTAGCCGCTATCACAACTTCGTTTATTAAAACCACAGAATAATTTTATTCAGTTATTTTAAGAAGCAGAACAATGCCAGAACTTTTGTTTTACACTCCTATGCACAGTAGAATTTAATACTGTACATGTTTTATACAATGGGATATGCAGGATAATTATCTGTGATCCCTAATTAGTTATGGGGATAAATCCTGACATATCATGATGGAAATTCATCTAAGTGTATAATGTAAACATTATGGCCAGGTACAGACATTACACTTTTACTGGTATAAGTGACTGGAAACCAGTCGATACCCGTAACAGAACAGAAGTTTGGCACACAAAACCAGTCTATAGCCATTAAAGAACAGAAGTTCATCACACACAGACTGGTTTAAAAATGTCAGAACCCAGTCTAATATTTAATGGTGGGGGGCAGCAATTGGCCCAATCTAGGCCAGCAGGAAAGGGGGGCTGCACCTTGGTGTAACACAAGCTGAGTAACACAGATCAGATATAACTCTGCCCTGGAGAGATGTTAACTTTCAGCTGCAGAACGAATGCTCAGAACCAGGGGCAATGTGTAGCGGGTACGTGTGCACCCCCTGAGAGCACCAGTGCACCCCCTGAGAGCGCCAGTGCAGGCCATACTCTGTTTAGCCAGCAGGCAAGGGGGCAGGTGGGAGTACCAGTGCCCCCTCTGCGAGTGCTGGCCGGGGCTGCTGGAGGCCCACCCCACCCCGGTCAGTGGGATTGGCCACTGGGGGACCCCTCTGCCAGCTGCTGACTGGTGTCAGGGGGGCATGTGCCCCCCTGACTCAAGAGGCACCAGGCGCCCATGCTCAGAACCAGTTTCAGGTATTAATGTGTGGGTTAAGAGCTCCAGGAGCTGCCTCAAATTACTGCGTAACAAGGCCCTCTGTTGGCCCTGTTGAAGCAATCTGCAAACATGATCCATTTAATGTTGCATACTCCATGAAATCTCAGTGTGGGCAGTGTCATTAATGATTTAAACTGCCTGGCCCAGAAATCATGAGCAATTGAGAAAAAGTCAACCTATACAATCAAAAACATAGCCTGGTGTACTGGTCTCTGTAATCAGCATTTTTGCTGTCCTCCCCACCCTCCCCCTACATTTTATACGGTTGCTTTACTTCTGCCTTCCGTTTAAAAAATGAGGACAAAGTAAACATATGCTATCATTTTGCATATCTCAAAACAATAGTTTAGGGGTGGTGAACAGATTTAAATTGGAATATATGGTTTTATTGATTTTAAAGTTGTACGCAAAACCACATCATCCAAAAAAAAAGAAAAAGAAAAAATTAGTAATGAACAGTGTTGGTAAGAGGCATCATCATTCCATCCACATGCATCTTTTATCCAGATCCCCTCCATTTTCGCTTGCATCTCATCAATAGTAATGTTTGCAAATATTAAGCAAAAATTAATTACTCCTTTTTGTTAAAAAGGCTACAGATTTTCAAAGCCACGTGACCTTTATTTATGAGTTTTTCTTGCGTATTAGAACAATTGGGATGCATCATGTTTTTAAACAGGTCTTATACATACATTTGCATATATCAGGAGAAATAAGAATAAACCTAGGAATCCATAAAACAGCAATTACTGAGACATTTATTTTTTTCAAATGGAGTACTACCAGCTTTGACTTGTTTTTCATAGATATTCAAAATCTAAAATAATATTTCTTGCAGTACTGTAACACCTTTGCATAGCTCCAATTTGGCATCTAAGCTACTTGCCAATGATACTTTTACTTCAGATTTTCTGCAACAATAGCAAAACTGTTAAGATTTCCTGGAAGGTGAGAAAGAAATAAACAATTATTTTAAGAAATGCTACGGTTCAATTCTACCAATGATTTACTGGAGGCTTCTTTTTCTTTAACCGATTAGCAAAGCAAAATGAAAAATGCAGTAAACGCTCAAAAAGTTTTTGGGAGAAGTACCTAGTTCAGGCTTATCCAGTAAACTGATAAGAATCCGAAAAGGCTTTAGGTCTTGCATTAGTGTACTTTCCTCTCCATGTCCGTTAACTTGCAAGATTCCCACCATTGCCTATGAAAACCAGAAACAGATGAGAGAAAAAAAAATCAAGAAGGAAACTGATTCTGTCAAATGGTTCAGCGCAAATCATATAAGAGGGAAATTATTTTTAGTGGAGGGAATTGTTTTCTGAACTCATACAGCTCTCTCTTCATACTTATTCAGCAGTGTCGTCCCCCTCACCCTGTGTCCCCCCCCCGAAGTCATATTCTATTCCACAGTTTGCTTGTTCTAATATTTGTGGAGGTTGAGGAATATACAACAAAGTGGTATTAATAGCTGCTTATTTAAAAATCCTTGAGAGTAATATAGGTAAGGGAGACAAGTGATCAAGAAACTTCTTGAGAAGCTAAGAACTTTTAAAAAACAGTGCTGAATAAAATAGTAATCTACCTATCCAGGATGAACCTTGCCAGGGTGGAAGACCTTGCTAACAGTGAGAGCTTCAAAAAAGGAACAATGGAAAAAACAGAGACCCTATCTTGAAGTTCTTTATTCTATGATATCAACTGCAGAAAAAAAAAAAAACCTAGCTAGATTCTCACAAAGTCTTCTTAGTTTCTCTCTGCAGCTGACACAGCTGTATGAGTAGGAGCTATTCCATTTCTTCTACACGTTCTAAAAAAGAGAAAAAGGAAAAGGAAAGAGAGAAGAAGAAGGACAAGGAGAAAGAGGAGGAGGAGGAATGAGACAGAAAAAAGGCTTGATCTGATCTGCTAAAAGGTGATAATCACTTACTATCTTGGAAAATCTTCTCTATCTGAGCATGCTTTTAAATGAGTAGATTTTCCATCATACAAACAACAAGAGAGTTCTCAAATTTGAGGAAAATACAAAAGGAGAGAAAAAAAAAAGACTGAAAGACAGAGAAAAGGAGAAAAAAATATTTTTTGAAAGGCCTTCTCTCATGGTATTAAACCAGGGGCAGGTAAAATCTGGCCTGCCAGGCCATTCTATCCAGTCTGCAAAAATTAGAAAATATTTATCTGCTCCTAGCTGCCTGTCAAAGATGACAGGAGACAGGGGCAGTAAGACCCAGGGGGAGCCGGCAGCAGGAGCCCAGTCCTGCCCACCCGCAGCCATTTCTCCACTTTCTGCCCCGGCCCTGCTCCAGTGCCACATGGCTCTTGGCTGCATGACTAGACTAGGAAGCACAAGGCCGTGCTGGTACAGTGGGTGTGCGCGTGCACAGGCAGGGACAAAGAGAGTGTGTGTGTAAGCAGGGGGAGAGTGTGCGTCTAGGCAGGGGCAGAGAGTGAGTGAGTGTTCGTAGGGCAAGTCCCACATGCACACCCCACCATACACATGTACCCACACCCCCCTCGCACTGCCATACACACAGACCCCACACCCACACCCCCTCACACACCCTAGTCACCTCCCCCACACAAAATCCCCCACAAATCCCATACCCATCCACACCCCACATATCCACACACACACTCCCACAGGCATCAAAAGAAGAGCTCTTCCTTCTTCTCTTCACTTGAATCAGGGAGGTAGTCAGCCCCTGCTAGGCTGACAAAATATCCCTGTCCTCTGAGATTGGGGGGGGGGGGGGGGGGGGGGCGCTGTTCATCATCAATACAAGTGGAAGAGCACTGCTCCAAATCTATTCGGTGGATGCAAAGTCTATTGAGCTGTCCCATCAAATGCTACATTTACGTAAGGGGAAAGAAAGATGGAAATGGAAGACAATTTAAAATTCTTCCTTACGCTATTACTGCTATGAAGAAGGGTATGCTAACTAATACCTCAGGCTAAGTGGTTCTTTGAGTAATCTAAAAGTTTTGAAAGAACGGTACCAGAACAGGACGTGATTGTCCAAAAGGCAGAACCAAAAAAAAAAAAGTTCCCAAGTTGAAAGGCAACACAAACTACATGGTTATATTGAAATGACTATTAAGGGATGTGGAAACAGAATTTTTGGTAAATATAGAAAGGATGCTTTAAGAATGAAGATGTTAAAAGATGTTAAGAGAATAATTCCACAATGAGTAAGTCCCACGTAATAAAAAAAATGCTATAGCTACCTGAACCAACATTTCCTTAGAAAAGGTATTGAAATAGTAAGTGGCATGCTCCTCAGGATTGCTATGTCTTGTGCTTCTAGGTCCTATAATAGCCCCATTGTTATCAAAACCTTGAAGCATACAAAAAAAGAAAACAAATTAATATTTATCTTTCTATGAATTATTTGTCAATTTCTTGAAACAGGAAATCAAAACACTAGTGCTGATAACTTACCAATTTTTAATCCAAGTTATGTGGGCAAGAGAAAGACCATTTTAAAGAGTTTAATACAAAAAACTAATAGCAAGGAACAAACTAATGAGCCAATCACAAAAGTGCAATCTAATGTTTTAGTTATAAGTTGTACTACCAAAAACATTATTTTCACAAACAAAATGAGGCTTCAGAAATACAGCATGTTCCATAGAATGCATTCTCTGCTACTGAAATAATAGTATGGTCTATAGCTAGTGAAATAACTATTAAGAACCTTAGTGTTACTGATTTTTTTTATAACAGAGGACAAAATATTTTTAAATATATGCATTAAAGCTGTATGAACCAAGACACTAAATGTACTGCCATATTATTGTTATTCTATATTACTTTAAAATTTAAACAGAATATACATTTTTTGTAATTGAATCATTTCAAAGAGACTAGTGCTCTTAGGAGTCCAATTTATGTGAAAGAAATCTACTTAGTTTCATCTCAGAAAGGATGCATGCTTCCTAGAAGCATTTCAACATTAATCCTATCAGCTTGTCACAACATACAATAATTCTTCAGAATGTTTTTATAGTTTTCCCAGAGAATGATAGAGACATGGAAGAAGTTGAGAAAATGTGTGCCATCTATTTTAAATTAGAAATCATGTTTTAATATGGGAGAATACTGATGGTAATCTTAGATTAAAAAGCTTTAATGTGACTTTTAAGACTGCAGATGCTTAATAACTCTGCAATACAACATAAAAAAGATGAAGAATATCTAAAGCCAAAATAGTCACATGAGAACTCAGACTTAAAGGGGCCTCAACAGTTCATAGTTAAAATAGACTCTTTATTAGTAAAATAAAAATAGCACAAAGATTAACTTTAAGGAGAGGAAAGTATTATATTATTTAAGACATAACACTTAATCAATTGGAAAATAGAACATATATTTGTACAAAATCGAGGACATGTCTAACCTTTATGCACTTTATTCTGCAATATCTGCCTATATTATTATTATTGCAGCCACTTTATTGCAGATATTTTCCCTCCTAAGATCCTATTCTGGGAAACTGAATACAAAGAATAGGTGAAAAATTAGCATTCTATTTAGAAAATGGCATGAATTTACACTAGAAAGATGTGTTCCACAATGTTTTTCTTTAAAAGTTTAAAGTTCTATTTTTATTAGATGACTGAAATTAAACATTTATTAAGAAAAAAAAATAGAAAAATGATCTAACTGTGCAAATGTGTCTGACCGTGACTATCCTCTCCCAGAAAACATGAAGTGGTTTGAAAAAGTAAGAATTTTTTTTTTTGATCCTCCTCCTAACATTGCCCACTTAGAAAAATGGCGTGAGTTAAAATCAAACATACTAAAAAAACAAGCAGAACAAAACACAATTTGTCTCCTAAATACATGCTACTGTTGTTTTTATTTTAAGGATTACAATTTAAACATTTTCCATAGATATTAATGCTTTTTCTGGCAGCACATCAAGATGAAAATTACTCTAAAATATGACAATGAGGTTCTCTGTACACATGCTTGGGGATGGTGTATTTTAATTAGACTGGTTCCTCTTTTAAACGCACCATTTAAATAGAGGAATTTAATTTAAATGCACGTGTAGGTGCATTTTAATTAGAGTGGTTCCTGAACGCCTGCTCTAATTTAAACGATTCACCATGACATGTATTAAGCCCCTATGCATTTCAAAATGGCCACAGGACACTTTCTCTAAACCTCTTTTGATCAGAATTAAAGTGCCCCCATGGCCTTTCTGAAACGTGCAGGGACTTAATACATGTGAGGGTCAGGTGATGCTGGAGCAGTCTAATCAGAATGTGGAGCAATTCAATCAAGTCTGCTCTGATGTGTTCTAATTAGATCGTGCACAAACACATCTAGAGGCAGCCTGGGGTTCCATTCTGTATCACTATTTTTAAAAATAGTGACATTTTAGCCTTATAAACAGTCTGAAATTTAATATTTGTAGTAATAGGGCTTACAGATCAAAGTGCATAAAATTAGGAATGTCTATCAGTGTTTTCAGAATGAGGCCTTAAATCAGTGTAAATTTTACTTTCAAATATATTTCAACCACTTTTATCTTCATTCTTGGTACCCCTTCCTGTTTTAATTGTCTATTATACCCATTAATGTCTTGTCTTTATTTAGACTGTAAGCTTTTGGGGCCAGGGATTGTCTTTTACCATGTGTTTGTAAAGCTCTTAAGCAAGTGGACTTCACTCCTGACTGAAGATTATGGTTATTATGGTAAGAAAAGTTAATAAACATATTTGATAAGGAATATTGTCACCATGAACTCTTCATATAGTTATTCTGACCAAATAGGTAATAATTTTCTTATTTATCATTTGAGAAAATAAGAAATTTGCTTCATTTAACTTTTCCCAGGGTCTCTGTAGGGTGTAATGCATGGTTGGCAACTGGCTGGTACTGGTAAATAAAAGTATGAACAGAATCAACACCAACTTTTCATTTATCAAGTCACAACATAATAGTTATAGGAAAACATTACCTGCACATTATTTTCACTGAATACATTTCTTCCTCCTTCATTAAACAGATGATTATCAAATGCAACAAAACCTACCTAGAAGCCATGCATAAAGCCTTCGGTTAAGTGACATATCTCTGCGCAGTACGACATGAAGAGCTGCTGACAAAATTCTGATCATGTCTGGACGCGTTGCCTGAAGAAATTAGGGATATTTATTTAACCTTAAGAAGTTACATCTTAGTATGCACTGGAAATTATTCTATTATATCTCTTACCATTTCTGAATTGGTAGTAGTGAGATGCATACTGTTCTAAAACCTTAGGAAATTAAAAGGTGAGTTTACTATTTGGGACAACTGTGTATTAAAGTGATGCAAGTATAGATTTGAGGGTCTGCAAAAAAAATTCTAATTTTTTTCAGAAAAATTTGGAAAATGTTGTACTCCAAGTATAGCTAGTCCTGGATCATCCTTGACCAATGCTTATTCAAAATCTTGAAAACCTCCCATGAAAGAAATTTCACAGCTTCCCTAGGCAGTCCTCTTCCCTGCAACTTAAAGCCATTGGCAAGTGTCCTGCTCCCTGTGGCAATAGAGAAAAGGTGTTCTCCCTCTTTATATGGCAACCCTATAAACCCGACATGCCATTTTCTGCAAGCTGAATCAACCTTTTCTTGTATGGCTAGCCTTCCAAGCTCTTTATTATTTTGTCATCACTTCTGGACCTCTCCAATATCTCATTTTTAAATTGTAAAGACCAAAACTTGCACATTATACTCTAGATCACAGGCTGGCAATGTTTTCAGCCCGAGTACCAAAACCCTCCCACAACCTGGATTCAGAAGATGTTGGCATGCCAGGGGCAGGTGGCAGGGGGGGGCTGCAAGGGGCCTGATCCTTGTCATGGTAGCACAGCCCCAGCCCCTTCCCCACCGTGCTCCCCAAGGCACGTGTGTAGCCTCTGATGACAATGAGCTGGGCCAGGGCTCCAGACCCCAGTGCAGTTGCTTGCAGTCTTGCAACTGTCTGCTACAAGCAGCCCAGGCTCTGGACAGGCCCCTGCTGCCTGCCAGGGAGCCTGGGCTACTCACAGAAGGCAGCCACAAGCCTGAAACCAGCTGCACTGGGGTCTGGAGTCCGGAATTGGCTCATTGCTGGCAGCGGCTACATGCATGCCTCGGGAAGCATGGTGGGGAAGGGGCTAGGGCTGCCCTCCTGCCTCTTTCTTTTTTTTAAATTTTGTTGCCACTTTTTGATCAATGAGCTCCTTTGCATTGGTTGTTTCAGAAAACCTGTTTTCCTAACAGTCAGCTTCTTCCTGAGTTCCCACTCAACCACTGTTCATCATAATGACTCTCATACCCTTCAGAGCTAAAATGTGTGGGTCCAAGTACTCTCCCTCTCCTACAAGTCAGGCAAATACACTACAGACCTGGGTTACCTATGGGCTACTGAAGTATACTGAACTCATGTTTATGGAAGGGAAAGCAGAAAAGTGAAAATACCACCAGTCTCAGATTCACTGGGAATCCCAAAGCATGGATATAAGCACTCCCTCCCAACTTGCCCACTGGGAGGCATGCTGGGTGAGGTGCTCACTCTTGCTCCATGGTATCAGAGCCACAGAACTTTATACAATTGTGAACCAATTTCCAATCAATGACATTTTACAACAGTGCAAGTGTTATACATGTCCACACCCAATGTGTACATGAGGGGATCTGAAACTTGATATTTTATGTTAAATTTTTACCTGACTCATATGGAACGGAAAACAGAAGAGTATAAGGTCCAATGTACTTCTTTGTACTAACACACTTGAATCTTGCACTGATGTACTTACTGCTTCCACCTGAAATTATCACCATCAAAAAGACTTGTAATCTGTCATGTTATTTTAATTGCAAAACACACACCTTCAAAAGAAAAACAACTCAATTACTGTCCTCCCATTAAATACACTGGATTTTTAAGAAATCAAGAGAATCTGTTTTAGAACCAGAAGTAATAAAACAATGTAACCGGGGAAAAAAAAGAAGTTATACATGAAAGATGAATATAACTGTTACACTATTCAGTGTAAAGCAATAGGTTTTGCTTAAAGCATGCCTGGTTTCACTTAGAGTATGAAAAAAATTTCCATTTTAAAAAGGGAGGGGAAGCTGCTTCTCAGAAGTGAACATTAGCCGTTACAATTTAACTGTAACGTCTACACAAACCTGTAGCAAGACAAGCTGTAATGAAGCAGGTTTAAAGTTGTTACTCTGGTATCACTATAGAATCATGCAAAACTAGCAGTTGCATTGGTACCCTTTGATATCCAACTGCTACAGCTGTCTACCCCACGGGTGGGCAAAGCCCAGACAATGGCAGACTCCATTTCCCAGCAGCCCTGCATCACTGTGGCCAGTTTTCATGGAGACCTCAGGAGTGGCAGGGCCACAGGGCCAGGATTTCCATGGAGACCAGTCCAAGCAATGCTGGCAAAACATGTGGCTGAGCAGGGAGCTGCTCCAGGGCCAAGATTTTGTGGTGGTGACAGTGTGGTCTGGAGCCAGGGCAGAGCTGCAATCCACTGCTAGCATGCCCCTCCAGACTATGCTGTGACTGCCACAAAATTCTGGCCTCATCCCCACAGCAGCTCCCTGTCCAGCCATGCACCCTGCTAGTGCTGCTTGGGTCAGTCTCCATGGAAACCCTGGCCCCAAGCTGTCATGCCCTGCTGCTCTTGGGGTCTCCATGGAAACTGGCTACAGCAATGAGGGCAGGGGCTGCTGGGAAATGGAGTCTGGCTACCACCAATCCACCATTTTGCCTACCCCTTAGCTTGATCAGTAAAGTAATTCAGTACAGATTTTTCAAGATGCATTTTTTAAAAAGTACGTAATATCTAAATTGTTATAAACTGCCTTAGTTTAACACATGCTATAAACAAAGTGTATATACCTTGTTCCCATAAGAACTATTTAAAAATATTTTGAAGACATACAGAAACTGTATAATTGCATAAACAAGTCTTATGAAGAAAAGAATGAACTGTTTTGATAACAAATTACCATTAACTCAATGTCACTGCCAATTATATAGAGTTGATCTTCCATTGAAAGCTTCCTGTTCAGATGGCAAAGGACATAAGTGATTCCAGGTAAGCGAACTGCAGGACTGGTAAGAAGACTACCCCATAGGGCACTGTAGAATGCCGACTGGTCCACTGCAGCAGCAACCTTCTCCAACAGTGTGTTTGTTCTGCAACACAAGTGACAAGACCGGCTCACAGAACAGGAAAGTCAATTAGCGTGCATGTTCAGAAACACTCATGTTCAAAATCAAAACAAGAACTCAAGCTCTATGTACATAGATACAACTATAAAGATCAATACTTGGCAAAACAAGACAGAAAGTCAGAGATTCTGTTCCACAAGAAGCAATCTTTTAGGAAAGTATAGATTTACAATGGATCACAAAGAAATTCACAACTTAAATGAAATTTCAGAATGACCTATGATATAAACAAGAGACATATACATACAAAATATGGACATGCCTAGCATTAATTATTTTTAAAACAAAAATTAAAAAATGCAAAATAAAGACATACCTTCACTGTTTCTATAAGGGAAAAGAGTGTATTTTTTGTGTACATGGTTTTAAATTGGCTTGATTCAGTTTGACCATCCTTAAAAGCTGGCCAGCCCCAAATATTCAGGGCAAAAGTTACTTGTTTCCAGAATATAGCATTTGAATATCAGCACAACTCTTGAATCAGTGAAAAATGAATCAAGTACTGCACTGCTATGCCTTATTTGTAAAAATCACAACCAGAATGAAAAAGTTGTTTTAATTTTCTTTATTTTCTCTCAAGCTATGTGCCATGCTTCTTACGCTACAAGTTATATTTTTGTGCCAGTTTTTTCCACCCATTCATATACATATGAATGCAGAGTGAGACCAATGCTCTTCCTGGACTTAACCAAGTATGAAAATTGTGAGTACGACACTTGAGAAGTCCAAAGTATTAAAAACTTGTATATGCCCCATCAGCGGTGACTGGTGCCTCCCGAGTCGGGGGGAAGGGGGGGGTGGGCACAATTTGTGGTGGGCCCGGGGACGGGCCAAATGCCCCGTATCCAGTCCTATACTCCTGCACTGCAGCTTAGTATCCCCCCCCACAAACCACTAGACTGCGCAGCAAAAAAACTGCCCTGTCCTGAGCAGTGCTGAGTTGGAAGCCAATCTCAAGGGGGGCCCGTGTCCCCCCTATCAGTCGCCTGTGTGCCCCATGAACAGATTCACAGATGGTCAAACAGTAATATTCGCCTTGATGTTACATTAACTTAAAAAAAATAAAAATTTAAAAAAACTTTCACAAACACTAAGGGTGCTCTCACTACCTTCCAAGGGTCCAGACTCCCTACAAGTATGCTATGCTGCCATAGAGCAGGGAAGTTTATCAGCACTATTGCAGCTCTCCCATTTTGTTTGTGGCTTGGACTCCCCAGACAGGAAGGGACACAAAGTGGCCATACTGCTATAAACATTGTATTGACAGATACACTGCTCTCATATAGATGTGTCAGTGTTATTTTAGGCATACAAGGTTCTTTGGGTAAATCCAATATATTTTATTAGACCCAAAGAACCTTGTCTGCCTATGGCCTTAGACCAACATGGCTACAACCTATACCCCTGAAACACAAATGTTATTTTAGGTATTTTAAATGGGTCAATTTAAATATATAGAAGGGAAGTTATCAATTTATTGCTCTTCATCATTATCTTACACTTCTCTTACTTCATATTTATATTTGTTTCTTATAGAGAATAGCATGAATAGCTGTTTTCAAATAGCATGAATGTTGTTTTGGAAGACACTTACTAAAATGAAAGCAAGAAAGCATTATCTAGCGAGTTACACTTGTAAAATGAGTTCAAACTGGGTCCCATATGATCTGAATTTCTTTTTAACATACAGTACTAACAAAATAGTTCCATTTTCTTTTAGTGTAATGTTAGGAATATTCTCAAAAACACCTGTAATATTCATATGCAATTAGCAACATTTACTGTACAAAAACAAATGCCTATGTATCTAACGTATAATATGCTTAGAAAAAAACATTCATGAAGTTAAAACAATATTGTGGTACAATTAATTCATTAGCATATTTTTACCTCTCATAGTACTCTGATCCTTCTTCTAAGCCAGGCAGAATTCCAGTTAACAACCCCTGCAGGCCTGGTTTTAATGTTTTCCCCAAAGGGAGATAATAAATCTCATACAGACTGAGTAAAGTTGGTTTGACAGACATAGCAGCATTGGCAAGGAGAGGAAATAGCCCAGAACTGTAAACAATACATTGAAAATTAACTGTTTTGGGAAGCAATTTATGCAAAACATCTGAAGTCAATAGTTTAACAAGCCTGTGTTATAGTAGAATATAACATGCTTTATGAAAATACAGAGAGAGAGAGAGAGAGAGAGAGAGAGAGAGAGAGTGTGTGTGTGTGTGTGTGTGTGTGTGTGTGTGTGTGTGTGTGTGTAAAGCAATGCTATATGTAATTAAGTCCTGGTTATGACCATAAACTGCATCAGACTAGAGGGCCTGGTGGCAATGTGGTGGGCTACTCCTAGCAGGGTAGCTCCTATAAAATATCACAATGTTCCAACCTCCAGAGTAAGTGAGTATAGGCTACCTCAAAACCTTAGCTGAACTGCCCTGTGGGTACTCCTTGGTTGGAGAAAAGCTAAGGGACATCACTCTGACAGAAACACATCCTCGCTAAAGTGTTAGGCAATGAGCAGTAGTTCTTATCTATTGCTCTCTGACAGAAGTTACAACCATCGAGGCACTGAAAGTCTGGACTTGGTCTGGCCTTTGGCTTCTGTCTCAATGATCTAAAGGGAGAATGGTAGGTCTTGGGCAGCCTCCACTCCTCCATACTCTTGCCTAGGCATACACATCTAAGGTCCTGGTCCAAGACGACTTAGACATACACCAAGATTCAGGGGATTGACAGTTGCCTACTAATATATATTAATTTACATATACTGGCATATACGATAGGGCTGTGTGAAGGTTTGGTAGCTAATTTGATTTGGAGGAGATTCAGCCCGATTCAGTAACTGAATCTCCAAATCCGAATCAAATTGGGAGAGCAATTAAAAGCTCTGAATGGATTCGAAGCATCCAAATCAATTTGGAAAAAGATTCAGCCATAGACTAAACAGACAACTGACAGCTGCCTCCAGCTGGTAAGTCTGTTGGGGTTAGGGGAGGGGGAAGGAAGGGGAGTAGTGGAGGGAGGGAGGGACTGGGGCTGGGACAAGGTGCTCAGCCAGGGAAGGGGGTACGTTACTCGGGGAGGAGACGCACGGGATGCAGGCATGGCTGTGCTCGGAGCAGGGGCTCTGCCCTGCTGCCACTTCCCACCCCACACTGAGTGGGTGGGACACGATGCAGGCACAGCTCACTCTGGGCAGAAGGGGGCAAGCGGCAGGGTAGAACCCCCACTCCCAGTGCTGCCATGCCTACATCCCATACCTTTCCACGCTGGCTGGCAAGGGGCGACAATGCAAAGTTTTCACTCTCAGCACTGCCGCACCCCCATCAGTGCTGAGTGAGGACACTGCCTTGCCGCTGCTTGCCAGGAGGCACGGGGGGGTGCAGGTGTGGGCGCACTAGCATTGGGAGCAAAGGCTATGCCCTGCTGCTGCTTGCCCTCTTCCACCCGGAGTGAGCTATGCCTGCATCACACCCTACCCCTCTGCGCCAGCTAGACAAGCGGCAGCAGGGCAGAGCCCTGGCTCTCCCTCCTCCAACCCCAACAGACTTACCAGCTGGAGGCAGTTGCCTGTTTAGTAGGGCTGTGCGATTCGATTCGGAGTAGCCGATTCGATTAGGAGATTTGGCCCGATTCAGTGGCCGAATCTGAATTGAATCGGGGGACCCACTAATCTCTCTGAATCGAATCGGAGCGATTCAGAGATTTGGCTATAGACTGAACAGGCAGGCACTAGGCAGTGCCGGCGGGAGCAGCTGGGGGAGCAGCTGGATGCACGCTGTCTTGAACCAGCATCCTGGGAGAAGCTGTAGTTTGTACGGCTGCTTGTCTAGCAGTCCCCCACTGGGAACTGGGGGATCGAACCGAGAGCTGGGGGGAAGCCTGTTCCCCCTGCTTCCAATCATTCCCCCAGCTCCCTGATCACTCCCCACAGCTTCTCCTGGGGCTGCCAGCACTGCCTGCCTCGTCCTGGCAGCGGGGCAGCTGAGGGAGACAAGCCACAGCTTCTCTCAGGGCTGCAGGCTCAAGCTGGGGCTTGTCCAGCTGCTTCCCCAGGTGCTCCTGCCAGCACAGACTGCTTGTATAGTCTATGGCTGAATATCTTCAGATTCATCTTCGGCTGAATTGAATCGGGACAGTGATTTGAATCACTGAATCAAATCACTGTCCTGGCAGCGGGGCAGCTGAGGGAGACAAGCCACAGCTTCTCTCAGGGCTGCAGGCTCAAGCTGGGGCTTGTCCAGCTGCTTCCCCAGGTGCTCCTGCCAGCACAGACTGCTTGTATAGTCTATGGCTGAATATCTTCAGATTCATCTTCGGCTGAATTGAATCGGGACAGTGATTTGAATCACTGAATCAAATCACTGTCCCTCTGAATCGCTGAATCCGAAGCAAATAGTTTCTATTCTGCACAAGGCTGCTGTTTAGTCTATGGCCGAATCTTCAAAGCGGTGCCAAATCTTTTGGGTCCGATTTGGCTGAATCGAACCGGGGCAGTGATTTGAATCTCCAAATTGAATCACTGTCCTCCGAATCAACCAAATCTGAAGCAAATACTTGCTGCTTTGCACAGGCCTAATATACAACATATCCCCAGATAAGATATATGCCTTGCTTCTGATGGCAGAAAAAAAGATCTTTCCTTGAAAATAATGGTAAGTATGGTATTTTCCCAGGGAAAACACAAGCAGCTGCAGTGTGTGCGTGTCTGTGCGTGTCTGTGTGTGTGATGGGCAGCTAAACTCTGTTAACCCCTAGCTGCAGAATGCTCTATATGCTACTGGCTAAGCAAAACTGCCCAACCCCTCTTCTCAAGCTGAACTGTGTGGGCAGCCAGCAGCACCTGCCAGTTTAGCAGAGGGTAAGATCATCGTAGCCAGTATCACCTCTAGAGTCAGCTGAGAATACAACCAGCTGATTCAGTAGTTTTTTTCCTAGCACCCAGGGCTCAGCTCCAATTTAGAATTGCAGCAGAAGCTGAGCCCTGGGTGCCAGGGCAAAAGTTCCTGCTAAGTCAGTAGCAGCTTGTGCAATATGAGCTTCTGCCAGGAGAAAGGGAAAGTAATGCTGCACAGGGTCAACACAGTGAGAACATAGGATTCCTGTAGTCCACATCCAGGAGCTAGGAAGCCCTGCATGCTCACTGTGTCCCCACAGTGCAGCATTACTTTTTCTTTTTCCTGATAAAAGCTCCTGCTGCAGAACCTGCTATTACTGTATTTCTCTGTTTAAAACATGCACCCAAATTTTCAGCAGCTTATTTTTTGAAAAGTATGTGATGTATGCAAAAATAAATGGAAACATATTTGAGTATCTGCCATGTTAGTAGATGAAGCTTCTAATTGATTTTATGGATGCACTTAATTATTTTCATAACAAGTCAGGGAGGTATAGTATTGGATATTGCTTACAACAAATATATAGATGCTTATGTTTCAGCTTCTTTAGTAAAACAAATATGGAGAAAATCATTTTAAAATAGTTTTTTATGGTATTTCTACCCCTGGAAAATTCAATCTTAGCAAAAGCAAGATAACAGGCTAAACGATCAAATGAATTCACTCCTTAAGTACAACATATTTGTTTCTTTAAAGACAAGATAAAAGTGGAAATTGGCATGTGTGGCACTCATGTTTTTCATTTGTAGAAATTAATACTCAACTTTCCCTA